GAAAGCCTCCTTCTACATGAATGGACTTGTTAAAATTCAATAGCCTGAGAGCTTGCCTTCTGCCTACTCCCTGACTCCCAGGCTGATATGAGGAGTTCCTTTGCTGGGACGTTAAGCTGTGTTATTGGCAAAGGTGATACCTGGACCTGACCTTCAGAAAAAGGTTAAAATACTGTTGTCCTGGCATGGTCTGCCTTCCTCTGCGTGTGTGTGTGTGCGCGCGTGCGCACGCGAACGCCCACACACACACATGCAGAGGAAAATGGTGTCCTCATCTGGGCGTCTTAGAGGCAGTGGAGAAAGGGGGCACAATCAGCTCACTTGCTTCAAGTGGCTGGTCTTACTTTACAGAGTATGTCCAGTCTCATTTTGTTGTTGTTGTTACTAAGTGCCATCAAGTCGGTTCCTACCCATAGCCACCCTGTGTAGGGTTTCCTAGGAGTGGCTGGTGAGCTTGAACTGCTGACCTTGCAGTTCAAACCAACTTTGCAGTCCCAGTGCATTAACCCACAGTGCCTTCCCATTATTTACAGAATACCAGCTGGGGAGTTTGTGAACTAGAAAACTAGCAATTGAGCTAATGAATTCCCATGATGCCCTTTGTAGTGGATTTGGGACTGGATGTTGTGTTTTAGCTCTTCATCAGAGTTCTGGTAGTCTGCAAGTGAATAAATGATGTGGAGAGGCAGCTCCTGATATGTGGCTATTTCTAGAATGAGGCCCATATATTGTTGCCAGTTAATGGTCACCTCTCCCTTTTAAATACTTAAAACAAGAACAACATTTAGCTTAGCGTTTTCACAGCGCACTACAATACATTTTTTATTTTTCAGTCAAGAATGAGGTCTGTTATCCCAATTAAGGATGAGGGAGTGGAAGTTCAAAGAGGTTGTATGGCTGTTCCCAGGTGACTCTGAAGGTGGAGAGATACCTCCCATGCTCCTTTCTTCACACCCTGCCTCTGTAGGAAGCACTGCAGCAGGGAGGTAGCTGGAGGGTGGCCTGGTCTCCCTGCTCTCAGGGGTTCCACTGCAACATCCCACCCCCAGCCAGATGTTTGGAGCAGGGAGAGCAGATGCACATCATCAGCTAGGCAGGAGAAGAGGACTGGGGGTGTTGTGGCATAAAGTGGGGAGAGCAGCTGGTCATGGAGTTCTATGGCCCCCACTGAAATTCTGCCCACCTCATTGGGGAGAACATGTATAATGAAATCCCCCATGGACCTGTAATCATTTTGTGCCCTGTGTTCTTTCCTGGGGATGGGCACACACACTTGGAGAAATGGAGTGCTGAGTGCTGGCTGAAAGGAACCATTTGAAAGACTCTGACTAGATCCCCTTACCCTTAAACCTCCAGACAAAGCAGGTCTTGGACCAAAGCTTCTGGCTCCTCCCCCCCCCCAATTGTCCTTTTGCTCTCCTAGAGGTATTTGCTTCATGGAGCAGGTACAGGGCCTGGAACAGAATCCTCATATTGTGCTTTCCTCCTTTCACCTTTAATGACCTGCCTAAGAGGACAACTAAAAAGACGGGCAGGATCTCAGACCATTCCTTTACACCAACTCATCTTAGAGGGGAATATAACAAAAGGGAGGAGATCTTGATAATGCCAGCTCTTGAGCTAGTAAATTCTCATGATGCCCTTGAGCCTAGGACCCCTTATGTGGTAGTGGTTGAGAGCCGTGGCTCTGGTTTCAGGCTGATCTTGGTTAAATCCTGACTCTACTATCAAACTAGCTGTGTGGTTTTGAGCACATTGCCTAACTTCTCTATACTTCAGTTTCCCTTAATGAAAATGTTGTTGTTAATTGCCATCCAGTCAGTTCCTACTCATAGCAATCCTGTATAGGGTTTCTGAAGAGCGGCTGGTGAGCTTGAACCACCAACCTTGCAGTGAGAACTAAATGAGATAACTTTGTAAAGTGTCAAGCATAGGCCTGACACAGTGTCAGTGCTCAGTAAGCATAACTGAGGCCAGAAAGACCAAGGGGCTTGCCTTGGGCGCTTAACTCCTTTAGGGCCCAACTTTTCTACTTCCTACCCATCAGGGCTGTGGCTTTCCCAGAGTCCAGCTGTATAGAATTCTACTCAGCTAGTCAGGGTTATTGAGCACCTGCTTCACTCAGAGGGCTGAAGGCCAAAGACTTCCAGGCTAAAGTCATTGCAAGCCCCATCAGAAGGCAGCCATGCTGCAGGGAGGCAGAGGCAAGTCCTGATGCATGCTCAGAAAGTGTTCATAGAGGTAAGGAGAATAGGCAGCCTGCTGAAGAATTGAGGGAAGTGGAGCGAGCCTCAGTGGGGGAGGGAGTAGTAAGGGACATCTGGGGTATTGACCGTGTTGTGAGTCTGGGGTACCCTCCCCAGGCGTGCAACAGCTCTCTGTGCTCTGTTCCAAAGCCTAAACTCCTGTGTGTCCCTGAGGTCAAGGCATTTGTGGTCTTTGAGGCCCAGGGATTACCTGGTCACAGTGTGTTTTTAGAAGATCCTCATCCCCTGCAGAGTCCGACCAAGCTGAGGAGTGCCCCCATCCCCCAAGCTCCCTGTCATTTCTGCCCTCAGGCCTCCTGTGGTGGGAGCAGACAGACCTGTAGGTCTCATCATGGCCCCAGCCAGCTGCCCTCTCACCCACTGCCTCTCAGGATTACTCAGCCTTCACAGCACCTGTCACTGAGATGCTCGTTGCGTTCTTGATGGCCTCTCTTCAAGAAAACCCGACTCCGTGTGCCGGTTAAGCCTCTAATTGTGGTTCTGCGTGAGGAAACCATAAACCAAAGGAAAAGCTGTGGTTCAGCTTTGGTCTTGGAGCTTTGTGTCAGTGTCTGCCCAGAGTCCCCAGGCTTAGAATTTAATGTGGGTTGTGCAGGCAGGTGGGGAAGCTGGCCTTTCCCTCCAGTCTTGGATGGATTATTATTAATAGGGTGAATTCCAAGAAATCACTCATCCTGCTGGGCTCTGCTCTGAACTTTGTCTCCTTAATCCAGTTGAAAAGCAGATACATCAGAGAGGCTAAATGTGTATGTCCCAAGGGATGGTCCACCTGTGGTTTACCAGTGCAACTTCTTCCTTGGTGACAAAATCCCCAGTCCCTTGAAATCTTGATTTTTTTCTACCAGGATCAAGAGCTTAAGAGTAGATAACCAAGTTTTTAGTTAATTGCTGAGAAAGCCCAGTCATTTTCTAAATAATTTCCAATGGTCATACCTATGTCAGGGCACCTGCCTTTATTTAACCCAGGGAGGGGAAGAGGGAGCTCTCTGGACTGACTGCTCAGAAGGGCGTCTGTGGTCTGAAGGCCTCTGTCTGCACCTGCCGGAAGTTCTTGGTCTTTCTGTTGAGTCAGAGCTCCGAGTCTGTCATTCTCGCGGGAGAGGTGACTGCCACTTGACTGACTGCTGCTTAGGAGCCATTTCCTCACCTTTGGTCCTAGGGAATAAAGTTTTATTTTCTCTCTTCTTTCGCTTCTTCTCCAGAGACACAGGCAGCCCAGTAACAGGGCATTTAATGAGTCTTCATTTCTGAAAGGGCCTCCTTGGTTTTTGCTCAAAGGATTGAGCCAGAAGCTTGTTGACTTCTGAGTGGCCACCACCACATACATTGTCTTTCCCTTCCCTTCCCCTCCCTTCCACCAAGAACAACACAGGAAGTTGTCCTAAATGGCACAGTTTGTTTTTCTTTCTCTATCAAAACAGGCATTGCCATTTATTTTCCTGTAGAGTAGTTCCCCAAGCTTTACAGTGGAATGACTGGGACTTCATCTTTAGGCCCATATTCGGCTCAGGTCCTCGGGAGAGGGGACCTTTGTGGTTGTGCAGCACCACCTGCTGGCCATGATACTACCACGTCTTCCGGCTTGTGCTCACAGTTCTTGGAACAGTTCAGCTAAACTAAAAGCAACTTTTAAAAGGTACTCTGAAATCCATTTCTGGTTGACTCATAAATTTTTATATCATCTTTGCCTTTTATGGGGCTGCCTTATCAAGCTTTTCTTTAAAATGACTTCCTATCTCCAAAGCCCAAATTTTCAAAGAACTGAGCACTGCAGTTGAAAAGCAGATACATCAGAGAGGCTAAATGTGTATGTCCCAAGGGATGGTCCACCTGTGGTTTACCAGTAAGGCCATGTGTCTTTGAGGGACGGAAATATTAAAGAAAGTGACTTGGAGCATGGGAAGGAAAAAAGGGGTGAACATAGGGTCTGTGGCAATTCTGGCGTTTTTAGATTAAGTTGAACTCCGTTCTGCAACCACTGAGCCAACGTTTATGGAACGTTGACACTGACCAGACCTGCAGTTTATCATCAGAACTGCAGCTCCTGCTTACTTGAAAGGGACTAAGTTACTTGTGTAGCACTGGTAGCATAGTGAATTTACGAGCTGGGCTGCTAACCACAAGAACAGCAGTTCAAGTCTACCAACCACTCCGCAGGAGAAAGATGAGGCTTTCTGCTCCCATAAAGATTATGTAGCCTTGGAACCTTATACAGCATCACTGTGGGTCAGAACCAACTCCATGGCATACAACCACCACCAATACCAGGCTACTTGTTTAGGGAGTTTTCCTTGTGGATTCAATTTTGAGGGCACCATAGTGGGGTATTGCAAAACACCTGGATTCTAGAATGAATGAATGGATTCTATATTTGATCTTGTCTCGGAGGCCTCTCCCAGTGGCGTGAATCAAATCCTCTACAGCTCTGATCCCCCATTTCCTAGATCTGAGAGTAAGGTGATTCTTCTGTTTTCTGCTGTAAGAAGAAGACGATGAATTAAAAACGTGTCTGTTTTTATGGAAGTAGAATGCCAGTTCTTTGGAGACAGTGTTATTTGACAGTTTTGTTAAGATAGTCTTTTAAACGCCTTGCTTTGGCATAGTACTTCAACATTTTATTATTTGGTCACTCACCACGCACATACTATGAGATCTAATAAAACTTAGAGACTAGAAGAGGGTACAGGCATGGGGTGCCTATAACTAATGCCTCTGTCATTTCCTTTGTTCTAGGCCTAGTCTCCAAATCCTCTCCCAAGAAGCCTCGTGGGCGTAATATCTTCAAGGCCCTTTTCTGCTGTTTTCGTGCCCAGCATGTTGGCCAGTCAAGCTCCTCTACTGAGCTTGCTGCATACAAGGAGGAAACCAACACCATTGCTAAGGTACTTGTATCAGGGTCACCAGGTGCAGGCGAGGATTGCTAGTGGGGGGTACCTGTGGACTGTAGCAAGGTGTCATTACTAAAGTTGCAAAGCTCTCAGACTTACAGGGGTCACTGCCACTGTCATTTACTCGGGCCCATTATCATTTCTGTTGCTTCCCACTTGAGGTGTGAGTCTCCTGTTGAGATATCCCTGTGATTTCTGAGTGCTTCTGTGGTCCAGATCCTTCCAGGCTCAGGAAGTATTCAAGATGCTTTGCATATGTTGTTCTGTGTGATCCACACAGCAGCCCTGCAAAGAGATTTACCAGATTATGACTACACAGACATGGAGACTGAGAAATAAAGGGGTTAAGTGGATTCCTGAAGGGCTCGTGGTTAATAAATGATAGTGCTTGGGTTCTAACTCAGATCTCTCTTGGCTCTGCAGTCATTGTTTGTTGTTTTTTTATTACACAAAGCTACCTTCTAGGTTACCCAATTTACAGGGAACCAAAGAATTGAAATTCTACCACTCTTCTACCACATCCTTGATAACCCAACCCCCACCAGCAACTCGCACCTGTACCTCTGAGAGGCATTGGGAAATGTGTGGGCATTTTTGATTTGTCACAATAACCAAAAGATACTGCCAACATTTTAAGGTTAGAACCAACCCTGTCCAAAAAGAACCCTGCCACCAGTGCCAGTGATGTCCTTCCCTAAAACACCAAAGCCTCACCCACCCTTCTTGCTCAAAACCAGGCTACAGACATCAAACCAATGAAAAATCACTTCATTATCCAATAACAGGGAAGGGATAAAATAAAGTGCAGCATAACAGTGTTACATTTTTACAAGTTAGCAATAACATGGAAAAGTATTGAATTGTAACACTGTCAAAAATCAGAATGTAAACTGTATGGCATCAAGTTAGTGAAATGCACCTTGAATCCACTAGCAATTCAAATCTATCAGGCGCTCTGCAGGAGAAAAATGAGACTTTTTGCTCCTTTGAAGATTTACAATCTGGGAACCATATATACAGGTTCACTATGAGCCATAACCAGCTTGATGGCACACAACAACAACAACAAAGTTACTGGTCGGCACAAATGGCTAAGTGCTCGACTGCTAGCTGAACCCACCCAGTGGTATCCCAGAAAACAGACCTGGTAATCTGCTTCTGAAAGGACATGACCTTAAAAACCTCATGAAGTCATTTTACCCTGCACCCATGGGGTCACCTTGAGTCAGAACCAACTCGACGGCAGCTAACAACAACAACATATATCCTACTATGGGAAAAAACAGTGATACAACAAACTTGAAGGAAATACACTGAAATGCCAACATTAAGCTTTTCTAAGTGATAGAATTTTTTTCAAGATTTTCATCAAGGACACTTAAAAACTCTTTACACTGTAACATTTTTCTTATCAGGAGGAAGAGGAAGGATTTCTGTTATCTCTGCACTCTGCCTCCCTCACACTTTATGGGTGCCCACAATGGGCGTATATTCATACTGGTTTATTTGGTGTTTTGAGGAGCACAGCACCCCCTCTTACCCTCCCAGGGGAGTATAGATAAAGTGTACTCAAAGAGAAGTTTCAGGGACTTCATGGGAAGTCAAAGGACTACTGAGCAAGAGATTAAACTACCGAAGTGCAGCGTTAGGATCTTGGTTTTCACACATTTCCTTCAAGCTTCTGACTTGCTTAAGTTCCTGTTCATCAGTTTGTCCAGCTGAGCACAGCAACACTGTCTTCTTCCTTCCCTTCAGTCCTAGTGTGGAAAGGAAACTGGCCTTTTCCCCTTTCTGCCCAGCTCCTGAGAAAAGTTAATTTTTGTCATGTTAGAAACTTCTGGTTGCCAGAGTCACAGGGAGAAAATTGTCCTCCAGTCCTGAGGTGGAAACAGTAGGTTGGGATGGGGCAGGGGAGGCATTGGTAGGTGGGCACTGATAGCCTGCTTCTTTCCTCCAGTCGGATCTGCTCCAATGTCTCCAGTACCAGTTTTATCAGGTATGTGAATCTGTCCAAGTAAATGCTCAGAAACCTGGGACCCACGACCCTATCTCGCTTCATAGGATGATACCCCTTTTGTTTGGTGACTGGTGGTCAGCTCCTCACCCTGGGAGGCAATTTGTTCCAGAAATTTGCTGAGGGCTTATTATCTGCAAAGCATATTGGATTTGGGGAAACTGCCGGAGCTACATGCCCTCTTTCCACAGCTCCTGTACTTCTCACTCTAGCCCTGACCTCCTCTCCAATGTCTAGATTACTTTAATTGTCCCAGTGGGAGGCCGGAAACCAAGCAGCCACCTCTTTGTCCTCTTTCTCTACGCCTTACCACCAAACTGGGACCATTCTTGGGTTACTGAAATTGAGGGTCTCCTGTCTTCACGATCAGCTCATCTCTTTCTAGAGTTCTGCTGAAATGAATAATGGGGCTTTCTTGGTGGGCAGATCTCAGCAGCCTGGCTCTGGTTTCAGATCCCAGGGACTTGCCTGCTCCCAGAGGTGACAGAGGAAGATCAAGGAAGGATATGTGTGGTCATTGACTTGGATGAAACCCTTGTGCACAGCTCCTTTAAGGTAATGTGACATTGGGAGCCCTTTGTGACCCTGGTAGTCAGTGTCATGATGTGGCCGGCAGGGTAGGGGGGGCTGGGAGAGTGGCAGACTTTGGCATTTTGGCCACCCCAGTGTCACATACATCTGAAGACGACACCGAAGGACGTTGTTGAGTAGGAGTCCCCACCTCCTACTTTGTGCTATGTGGCCAATTCCAGTGACTAGATAGCACAGTGAGCCACCAGGCTCCATGTTTTGTTGTTGTGTGCCATCGAGTCAGTTCCAACCCATAGCGACCCTGTGTAGGGTTTCCGAGGAGCAGCTGGTGAACTTGTACCGCCAACCTTGTAGTTCAAACGGCTTTGCAGTCTGGCGCATTAACCCACAGCACCACACCAGGACTCCATACAAGGAGTTAAACCAGCCTTGAACTTCCTTTACAAAGCAGGTTGTTTGTTACCTCAAGAAGCCCCCGAATTTCTTGTAGCTCAGTTAGGAGGGGTTTAGTAGGAAAAAGTAAAAGGGGATCACAGCCTGTACTGGGCTGATGGTGGGAAGAGCTATGCAGGGGACCAGCCAGGCAGTGTTGGGATCTACTTGTTTTCCTCTATACCATGCACACCTCATGAACTTGTCTATCCTTCCAGCCAATCAACAATGCTGACTTCATAGTGCCTGTAGAGATTGAGGGGACCACGCACCAGGTGAGCTGCCTGCCAGGCCACTTTCCGCCTGCCTTTTGTCATCCACCTGGACTCGGGATCCTCTGCCCCTCACCACATGTGTAACTTCATTCTCGCCCTTTTTACTGGTGATTTCACACCCAAGACTTCCTCATCTTGAAAATACATTCAGCCTCATAACACTCATTGCCATTGAATCAAGTCTGGCTCAGTGGACAGAGAGAGACCCTAAAGGACAGAGTAGAACTGTTCATAAGGTTTCTGAGACTAAATCTTCATAGGAGCAGACAGTCTTATCTTTCTCTCCAAGAAGGGCTGGTGGATTTGAACTGTCAACCTGATACTTAACAGCCCAAATGAACCTATTGTGGCACCAGGACTCTGTTGTCAGCCTGCTGGTGGTGGTGATGTGTGGTGCCTTGTGGTCGGTTCTGACTCATAGCAACCCTGTATAGGGTTTCTGAGACTGTAAATCTTTACAGGAGCAGAAAGCTTCATCTCTCTCCCACAGAACTACCGGTAGATTGCAGTTAGGAGCCCAACTCATAACCCACTAAGCTTCTGGGGCTCCTTTCTTAGCCTTATATCTCCCTCTTATCATCATCTTTTTTTTCCCCCTCTTCGTTGCCAAGCTATGTGAAAGACAAATTTGCATTATTTAACAATGTTGTTGTTGCGTGCCATCCAATCAGTTCATACTCATAACAACCCTGTATAAGGGTTTCCAAGAAGTGACTGGTGGGTTTGACCTACCAACTTAGTGAATCAAATCTACCTTACAGTCAGTCCAGTGCTTATCCTACAGTGCCACACCAGGACAATAATTGTTTAGTTTGTAAAGTGCTGTGTCAAATCAGTTTCAACTCAGAAGAGACCCTGTATAAGATTTCCAAGGGGCAGCTGGTGGGTTTGAACTGCCAACCTTGCAGTTAATAGTCCAATGTGATCCTGCAGCACAATACCAGGACTCCAACACTGGTCATGGCTGTCATTTATTGGTCACCCCCTATTTGGGTATCCTATTAAATGATTTATTAGTACCTTAATCTAATGATTATCTAATGCTACTATAACAGAAATACCACAAGTATATTCATTAGCAAACAGAAATCTATTCTTACAGTTTAGGAGGATAAAGGTCCAAATTCAGAGTGCCAGTTACTAGAAGAAGGCTTTCTTTCTTTGTCAGCTCTGGAGAAAGGTCCTTGTCTCCTTTGTTCGGCATCTGTAGGCCCAAATTCCTTGGCGATCTCCATGCAGCTTGGCATTGATCTTCCTCTGGATCTCGGAGCTTCACAGTATAGGGACCCCAGGCCAAAAGGATGCTGCTCTCTGCTCCCAGCTCTCCCTTGGTGGTAGGAGGTTCCTGGGACCTCTGCTTGAGTCAAGATACAACCTAATCCTGTAGATTAATATCATAGGAGTGAGAATTTATAACACATAGGGTAATTACATCAGGTTAGGACTGATCACATCATGGAGGTGGTTACATCATGAAATTGATTACAACTTAACTACTAAACCACAGAGAACCCCAGCCCAGCCAAGTTGACTTCAACCTTAAACTATCACAATTATGGAGCCCTGGTATGGCGCTGTAGGAGGATCACCACTGGACTGCTAACAAGGTCAACAGTTCCAACCCACCATCTGCTCCTCAGAAACCCTAAACAGGATTGCTAAGTCAGAACTGACTTGATGGTACTTAACAGCAACAACATCATAATTTCATTTTCTCTAGTCCTGGTGTGGCGCTGTGGGTTAATGCATCAGAAGGCAAAGTCATTTGAATTGTAAGATTGGTGGTTCAAGCTCACCAGCTGCTCCTTGGAAACCCTATACAGGGTCACTGTGGGTTGGAATCAACTCGAGGGCACTTCACAACAACAACAACAATCCTGAGTAGTTGGTGCCTCTGCTTGTCACAGGCATGGAAGCCAGTACAGACCTTTTTCTCTTCTGGAATGCCCTCTCCCTCATGCCCTTGCCACCCCCATTTAGCTAGTAAATGTTTCCCTCCCAGCCCAAGCATCTCTTCTGTGAAGCCTTCTCTTACCTCCCTCTCCTAGGGTCCCTATACTGTCCTAGTACATGCTCAGTATACATCTGTCAAAGTAAAAGAGTATTAAAGTATACAGAAGACAGAGTCTAAATAAGACCAGACTCCAGCTCTGCATAGCCTGCTCAGTCCAGGGTTAAGGATCATTCAGCTTTGATAGTAAAAGATCATTTACTCTAAGGCCTGCCTACTCACCCTAGAGTCAGGGACCAATGGAAGCAGATGCCCTGGTAGTCTTGACATTTCTTTGGTGACCCAGACAGATAGTAGAGTTACTTGTAGGAAAATGGAATAGAAGGCTTCTGTGGTTTTTTGTCCCTATTCTGTGTCCATTAGAGGCTCTCTACTCCCACAACAAAGTGCTCTGCCAGGCACAGCTACAGTCCCCACTCAGTCAGCTCAGACCTTGTCCATCAGCCCTCTAGTCTAGGTAAGTGTTGCTGTTAGGTGCCATCAAGTCATTTCCCAACTCTTAGCAACCCTGTAGACAACAAAACATTGCCCAGTCATGTGCCAACCTCAAATTGTTATGTTTGAACCCGTTGTTGAACTCCATCTCTTTGGGTCTTCCTCTTTTATGCTGAGCCTCCACTTTACCAAGCATGATGTCCTTCTCCAGGACTGGTCCCTCAAAGTACATGAGACAATGTCTTACCATCCTCACTTCTAAGGAGCATTCTGGCTATATTTCTTCTAAGATTTGTTCATCTTTGCACAAATTCCATGGCAAAAAGACTGGCAGATTTTCAAACAGGCAAACACCTTGTGAACTCCTGTTTCTTAAGAAAGGGTCATAAATAATAGAAAAGGGATGTGATTCAAATGACGTAGGGCTGCCTGCAGAAGACAACTTTTGGTGAAGAGTCAGAAAGAAGGATGGGACATGTTGAAGGTTGAAGAGCTATCAGTCTAAAGGGAACAAAGATACAGCTGCCTGGGGCAGAGGGTTCCTACACTGGTATAAAGGGGGCAGGTGAATTGGTGGGCAATTTGGTGCAGTCCAGGAGGCAGAGCAATGAGCAGGCCCAGGCTGTGAGCTAGGGATATGGGTAAAGGGGATTTTAAAGGCAATGGCTCTAGGAGCAGCTCTATGTAGGTGGTTGAGAGGGAGAGAGGCTGGAGGCAGGGAAGCAATAGAATGCAGACAGATGGGGGACCTTTCTTTAGGCCAAACTGCAAGATAACAATGAATAGACACGGGTAGATGGCAGGAACAAGCTCAAAGGGGTTCATACGAGCAGTAAGGTGCACATGTCTGCACTAAGGTCATGGGGAGATGGACGGAGGAAGGTGCAGTTTGGAAGAACTGTGTGAGGGTGCAAGGAAATGTTTGCATTGTTCTGATGGTGACATGGCCAGATGGTCCTGCCAGAACCAAGGACAGGAAGCTCCCACACAGGCTGTGGCTGGATTCAAGTAATCCAGGATAGGCTGTTTCCATCTGTGAGGCCTATTCTTGATTACTTGTTTTTGGAGGCAGCTGATGGTCCACCGCTGGAAACAGAGATGTCTCTTGGCACATTGGCATTTGCGTTTTCTTCCTGAGCTGGGCTAATGTTGACGTCACAAGCCAGCAGAAGCCAGTGCCCTGGTCTCTGGACCAGGTGATTTGAGTGACTGGGGTGTAGGAGTCTGGGCAGAGCAAAATCTGAACCTGCTTACTGTTCTATGTTATGTGTAAGTGATGAAGAGGGCAATGCTTCAACATTGCAGGGATGCCTTCCACAAGCCCCTCTGCTTTTCTTCAGGTGTACGTGCTCAAGAGGCCTTATGTGGATGAGTTCCTGAGACGAATGGGGGAACTCTTCGAATGTGTCCTCTTCACTGCCAGCCTGGCCAAGGTACCTGAGGGCAGGAGTAGAGAGGAACCAGGAAACGTGGCTGTACAGGGGTGGTCTCGCAGATCATTGTTGGTTCACAGGATAACCCCTGCTAGGGACTGGACTCAGGCTGTGTCCAAACAAAGGCATATTTTTTCCTCCTAGTATGCTGACCCGGTGACAGATCTGCTGGACCAGTGTGGGGTGTTCCGGGCCCGCCTGTTCCGGGAGTCCTGTGTATTCCACCAGGGATGCTATGTTAAGGATCTCAGCCGCCTGGGGAGGGACCTGAGGAAAACTCTCATCCTGGACAACTCACCTGCGTCTTACATCTTCCACCCAGAGAATGCAGTGAGTGGTCCAGATGCACCCACACTGCTGCAGTTGGGAGTCTCTGTCTGGGTGGGAGAAGTGTGGGAGCTTTGGGGTGAGGGAAGAGAAGAGCTGATAGTCTGGAATTTACTCAGGCTTTTTCCCTGCCCCAGGTGCCTGTGCAGTCTTGGTTTGATGACATGGCAGACACTGAGTTGCTGAACCTGATCCCAATCTTTGAGGAGTTGAGTGGAGCAGAGGATGTCTACACCAGCCTTGGGCAGCTGCGGGCCCCTTAGCCTTCCCTGCTTCCAAGCAACGGCCATCCCAGTAGGGGACTTTCCGATATTGTGCCTTTATGATCAGCCAGAGGGAAAGCTGCAACGCCTCACCAGATGGGGCCTGGATATAGTGAGAAGTGTTTGGAAAGAACTTTAGGACAGATTAGATGCCAAGTGGGCAAATACCAGACCGACACCAGAGCTCCCTGCTCCCTCAGTTGGGTTCCTGAGATAGGGTGTGTGTGTGTGAATGAATGTATGTGTGGGTGTGACTTGCCTTGAACTATGGCAACCGTATATACAGTGTTTCAGGTTGGGGGAGAAGTGGAAAGGTCAAGAGTCTCCCCAAGTTAGTTCGTCTCCTCTCCTGTCAGCTTAAGAGCCACTAAGCTCTGTAGGGATGAAGACTATTGAAGGCTCTTTTGCCAAACCCATGGCCTTTCCTCAGTGTTGTAAGACTTATGCCAAGGAGAAAGGAAGGGTCCGAGGCTGCCTTTGGGCACCCCAGGCATATGCCTTTCTCCAGCCAGCTGCTGCAGACAGAAAGACAGCACTTCTGGGAAGATGAGAACATATTTCCAGAACCAGTACCCCAGTGACCATGGAGTCCTGTGGCCCAAGAGCTGCACTTGTCTACAGCCAAGTGCCTGGCATGGGCCTTTTCCATGTCTCCTCACTGGCTGGGCCTGGGCCTGGGCCTGGGCCTGCCTTCCTCACCACCTAGCCATAGTCTTGAACCTGTGGGGAAGGAGGTCTTTTCCCTGCCTTGGAAGAGGACACGTAACTGATTTCCGTTCTTTTGACTCTGTGTAAAAATTCTCTTTCTAAACTTGGAGTGCTGGGCCTGGTTTGTTTTTGACAAAATTGCAGTCCTGGGCCTGAAATGAATGTGGGGGGTGCAGGGAAGAGGAAAATTCCAAAAGCATGAATGTGGTGTATCCACATTTTGGTTTGTAGACCAGCCGAACTCGGGACTGTTTCCATGAGTCTGCTCTTCAGGGATTCTCTGTGGTGCTGGCCAAGGACTCTTGTTCCATAGGCTGGGAAGAGCAGCTCCTCTGTCTCTGGGCTGGCTCCTTCCAGTTGTGTCTTCCCCAGGGCCATCCTGTGCTGAGCTCTGTCAGCTCCAGCCTTCCGCCTTCCCTCCATGGCCTCAGGCACTCCAGATTTTCCTGGGCCGAGGGAGGGGGTGTTCTCAGTTTTCCCAAAGAGCTCAGGTGAAAGTGAGCCCTTCACACACCTGCACTTTGGCTGTCTCTCACCTTCAAAGGTTCTCCTAGTGAATGCTTTAAAAAGCCACAAAATGTTAGTTTCCCCGGGGTAGAAAACAAAAGGGGAAGTGCTGCTGTAATTGGGAGCACAGGGGTCCCCAAAAAGGGAGCCCCATCTGAGCATCACTGCCTTAATCTTGGCCTCCCCCAGGGCTGGGCTGGGTTCTCTCTGCCCTCCCTCTCTTTGGGGTGGAAGGGAGTTCCTGCGCCTTTCCTTGTCCCTGAAGGCAGGAATCACAAAACCTTTGTAAATTGCTTCAGGTGCAGGACACCTCCCACTCAGGACTCGTCCCCATTATCCTTTCAATTTCCAAACACTAGGTTTGGCCTCTGGAAGTAACCAGGTGACCAGACAGAAGCTTGGTGTCCTGAGTATTCCCCCTGCTTGTCCCAAGGTTCTAAAGCCACAGAAGTGGAACAGAGTCCCCAAAACCCATGTCATTTCCCTGGTGCCTGGTCCCACTGCAGGTACAAGGAAGAAGGCTCTAGGTGCTAGCCAGAAATTTTGTCTCCTGAAGGAAAGAAGAGCTTATTCCAAGGCCTGCTGTGGCTTCAGACCCAGACCCCGGCCTCGGACTCTACTAGCCTCATAGTGTGGACAACCTAGGGTTAGTCAGCCCTTGGGCCCAATCTTCTGCCCTCTGGGCCCAACCATGCATAAGCAATAAGAGGCACTAAGCCTGTTCCAGTTTCTGGGACCCTTTCTGCCCTTCTTTGGCTTTCCACATGTTTCTGGTTTGAAGAAGGTTGTGCCCCCCTTCCCTATGCCAGGCTCATCCAAGTGCCAGGAGTGTGACCTGTGCGTGACCAGAGCCCAGGATGGCTCGGTGGGAGTGTCCCTGCTCCTCATGCATGAAGCCCTGCTGTATAGGCCTCGCTCCTGTCAACCCTGTGTGTCTGCAGTCACTATCAGAAACACCATTCCCACTTCCCCATCTCTTCCCTTCTCTGGAGAAGTAACGTGGCCAAATAAACCTAAATAGGGTCCCTTGTGTGGACCAGAGCCATCCTAAAGTCATTACTTGATGTCCGGCTTCCAGTTTCACAGTGTGTTAAGAGGCAAGTGATGAATGTAGAACTTGCTCCTCGGAGTAATCAGGCCTCAGGTTTGAAGGAGGCCAAGACTGGGAGGGAGCTGTTTCATCCTTGCATCTGTTTTATGGCTTCCCATGAGCCCTTACCATTTGAGACTGGTCTCCCGCAAGCAGTAGGCCACAGTGCCTAGTCAGCATCAATTCAAGCCATGCCAGGAATCTGCCCAGCTGCTGGGTTCAGTTCTTTAAGGTGCCTCTTAAGGGACACAGTGTGTGTCTCTCTGATTGGGCTTCTAAATCAAAAGCCTGATGTTCGTGTCCCTCTCATAGGGGGAGCTTTGGACACAGGACCTGTTTGGAAAAGGGTCAGGTAAGGATTTCCACTCTGCACATTGTAGAGGGGACACTCTGTCGGCCCACGGGTCCCTTATTAGAGAGGAGTACAGATGTGTCCTGGACCCTAATGCATGTTTAGTTGCTGAACAGGTAAGAAACCTTTAGTAAGTTTGCCTTCAGTTAACATGGAATCTTCTGTTTAGTTCCCTCTTGCCTCCCAAAGATTTTGATCGTTTTGTAAATGTGTGTAAACTCACTTCTGTTAACAATGGCCCAGAAGCTGCTTTGTGCTAAAGCATGGGAAGTCTCCAGGCAGCCATTCCTCGGGAAACAGATCCCATTCTACTCTGCAGCCACATCCCAGCCAGGCCTAGAGTCTGGGAAGACGGGTTAGTCAAATTTTGTCCCTTTTTTTCTTTTAAGCCAATTGATCACTATACTCATCCAGGGAAGGGGAGGTTGGAGGTACTGGCCAACTGTCCCATCCCATTCTTGCTATAAGACCTGCCCTTGGAGCAGACTCCCTCGTCTTTGGACCCCATGAGCTTCTTCGCTTACTACTCCAAGTTTGGCACGGTCCATCTCATACCGCTTTCTTCCTGCAAAACGCCATTGGAGGGTAGGGGATCTGCTTCCCACTGTGATTGGGCTATGGGATTCTGACTACCATTGTTAAAGATTCATGGATATATTTGTTGTATTCAAAAACTTGAAATGTAGGACGCCATTAAGTGTCTGTTTATATTTTTTGAATATTTGTATTACTTAACAATTAATAAAAGCGGGTTTACAAAAACCCATTCAGGAATGGGAACTGTCTCTTGCCCCTGCTTTTGTTCATTTGGGCACCACCCTTCTTTCCTCACAACTCCTTTGGTCCTGATGAAGCTAGAGCACCCAGGCAGAGCCAGCTGCCAGAGACCTGCTGCAGACTCAGCACTGGCCTTCTGCTCAAGGTTATAGCTGTCAGTCTACATTAACTCTTTCCTGACATCCATTTGGAGCCAACTCCACTGCTATCTAGGTGCTGAACAAGCATGCGCTGGTGTCCTATTGACTTCTGTAGATGAACCAGAAGCCCCAAGAACCTTGATTCTTCAGTGCCCTTCACTGATTCCCCCAAACCAAGAAGCCTGAAACTTGGAGCCCAGCATGGCTGCCAGCACACAGCAGTCACTCAAATGCTGATTGTATCTATGACTAGTCAAGGTGCCCTGGTGGCACAGTGGGTTAAATGTCAGGCTTCTAACCAAAAGGTTGGCAGTTTAAATGCATCAACCACTGTGGGAGAAACATGAGGCTGGCTGGCTTCCATAAAGATTTCGTCTTGGAAACTGGAACCGTTCTGCTCTGATAAGTACGTAGGGTCGCTATGAGTCCAAATCAACTTGATGACTGGGTTTGGATTTGGGTTTTGGTAATGACAACTGGTGGCATCAAGGAACAAAGCTGGATAACCTAGTAACAATTCTGACCCCTCTCCCAGACTTGGCCTCCTTTGAGCAATGTTCAGGGAGGCCTGGACCTCCTGGGTGCTCGCAGCCCCTGCCTCCCCTGTCTATCATCAGCATAATGCATCCATATCTACAATATGGCAAATTTCAGATCCTCCCACCCCCTTTCGTGCATTATTGATGGGCTCTGCACTTTTAAAAAATCAATTAGATCAGGGTGTGGAGCTAGAGTTAAAAGAAGCTCGTCTTGTTTTTGCTGTTTTGAATAGGAACAGATACAGCTTCCCTCTGGTTTGAATAAGTCAAGCCCAGGGCGGGCTTGGCCATGATGTGATTGGCCAGGACTAGGAAAATGCGGTTAAGATGCAAACACAAGCAAATATAACCCAGGGTCTGTGCAGCCATCACTAAGCTAAGGTGACGGAGCCTGGAACCTCCCGCTTTGGAGTTTTAGGGATCACTGCTGCATACCTTCCAGAAAACTGAGAAGACCTGGTGGGAAAGAAAGCAAGGTAAGGTCTGTTTGGTTTGTGGATGCATGGGTACAGCAATTCTACTGAGCAAAGAGGAAAGAAAAGGTAGACACGGTGATTAAAACATACTCGGCTTTGTCTGCAACCAGGGGTTTGTGACTAGTTTTGTAAAGTTCAGACTGAGAAGCCCAGAGACGTTTTAGGAACCTCTGAGAAGGAAGAGCACATTTTCAAAAGCTAGAAAAAATGGAGAAGACTCCCCACTTCTGGGAGAAAGATGGTACAGGGCAGGCAGACATTAAAACCAGCTTCCTCTACTTGGGCGGGGGTGTTTGGAGTGGTGTCAGCCATCAGAGTATCTGTGAGAATTCAGGACCACTGGCTTTCCACATAGAATTTCAAACCCAAACTCCCATCGTAAGGGTGTCTGCAGTCCTCTAAGGGTGTAGAATTAATTAGGACTTGGCAGGAGGGAGAGAACCAGCTTTGGTGGACTCTGCTGTTACACCTGGAATCACTTTTTCTGGGTGCTTCAGTGTGGCTGGAAGTCTCTCAAACATACTCTGTCCTGCATTTGGGGAACATGGTTCAGTGAGCCGCTTCCTGATTTCCTAATTGCCTTGCTGGGAAGTGGGGCTGCTTTTGGCCTCTGAGACTCATTCCTAATTAATGCCAGTTGGTTTGACTTTTACCAACTTGACACTTCCCTCATCTCCAAGAAATGAATTTGTTAGCCTTGTCCCTATTCCCTAGTTTGCCTTCACTGACCAAAATCTTGGGTCTGAAAAAAAAAAAAAATTTCTTGGCAATTCTGCGCAGCAAAGGGTGGGGCAGCACAGAATATCAAATTAGATCCTCAAACACTGCTCTGCATCGCTGCTGGGCTTTAGTCCTATTAGAACAGTAGACAAGAGTTTGTTTTTTTGCCAAAGTCCATATTAGATAATGGTGTGTATTATTCAAACTCCACTCCACCCACTGAGGCTCAAGAAAAGAATGGTTGGACATGCTCCTCCTCACAAGCACAACATGGCTCCTAATGCAAACATCCAAACAGTTCTTGCCAGGTGGCTTTTTAGCCTATGTAAACCCCTGGCTCATCAATCCTGTCCTTTCTCTTTTCCCTCTTGGAAGAAACTAGCATTCATCTGGTATACCTATTATCAGATTGGAAGCTTCTTGAAAGCAGGTACCAGGCATTTTCATTATATATACAGTCCCTAGTGACCATGGACATGCGTATAGCCCAAGGCATACCTTTCATATGGGCAGTGCACAATACACAGGAACATCTCTTTAACCACTTCCTCCCTTCTCCCCAACCTTCCTGCTCAGTCTTGAAGGAACTAGAGACATCTGAGTTTTCTGAAGTGACTCTTGTACCCAGAATCTCTGCTTCAGTGGGCTGGACGTAGCCAGAGCCCCAGCTTTACCAAATCTGTATGTGGGAGGGAGTGAGGAGAGCATCTGTCCAGACTAGACCAGGACACCTGCCTCTCCTGCTGACATTCTGGACCCTTCATCTCTTACCCAAACCCTGATATTTTCCTTTCCCTTCTGCAAGGCACAGGGAATACATTAGTCGTATGATAAGAGCAGGACTCACTGTTTGAATTTTTGGATGTTGTATAGGGTTTCCAAAAGGAGCTCTAGTAGTGTAGTGGGTACGAATTGGGCTGCGAACCTTAAGGTCAGCAGTTCGAAACTACCAGCCACTCCACGAGAGAAAGAAGAGGCTTTCTGCTCCTTAAAGATTTACAGCCTCAGAAACACTGTACAGGGTCGCTATGGATCGGAACCAACTTGACGGTACTTAACAACAACATAGGGTTTCCAAACAGCAGGTGGTGGGTTTCAACTGCCAACCTTGTGGTTAGCTGTCCAATGCTTACCCTACATGCTGCACCAGGAATTCTTAAGATAATTTACTTAAATTTAAATAAAAAGTCTGGAAAGTTAAAACCCCAAGAGAAGGCCACAAAGCAGATTGTGGAAAGGACCTGGCAAAAGGAATGGGCCAGATGGAGGCAATGAGAGGAAGACAAGTGTTTTGCTACCTCCCTTCAACCGCCCCCCACTCACATGCACAAGCATCCCCCCGCCACCAAGTGCCACTGAAGTTAGAAAAGTTGAAGAAGACTACAATATATTGAAATGACTACGTACACAGGTTTCAAAGTCAGGTTTGAATTCCAGTCTAGTGTGTGACCTGCAAGTATTTAATCTCTCTGAGCCCCTACTTAGTCCTACGGTATAAAATGAAGAACATATACCTTAAGAGTATTATATGAGGTAATGTTTGCCAAGTATATCAGCACAGGGCTTCACATATTTATTAACACCATGGAAATAATTGCAGTGACTACCAGAGCTCTAAATGAGGGAAGTGGATGGTGGGAAGTAGAACTTCTAAGTAGGACCCTGGTGTCCACCAATCTCACAAGTAAACGTAGACAAATCATTTCCCCCATTATTTGTGAGATGGTAACAGATGCACCACAAGGACAAGGTATGGCCACTAATGAGAGATTGGAAGTGACTTCGGAGAAAGTTGGATCGATGCAGGCCATTAGAAAGGCATCATCTCCCCTCTTGCTCTGTGCTGTTTCAGCCCTGGGACGTCAGCACCATGTCTCTGAGCAGCGCCTTCAGGGCTGTGGGCAACGACCCTGGGATCATCACCTGGAGAATAGAGGTGAGCGGGGAGGGCCCAGATCTGCAGATGACTGCCCTCGAGCACTCTGCTTTGGGAACAGTAAGAGGTCACATCAAAGTGCATGGCTTCCCATCCTTAGTTGGCCCCTGGCTTGAGGCAAGTGGCTGGCAGGTGGAGGAACTGCTCCTCGCTTTGCAGAGCCATGCTCCAAGCAAAATTAAGCTTACCCTTTATCCAGCCATCTGCTCAGTGAGTCGGCACTTCCAGAAAATGCCCAGAGAAACAGGTGGGGTCCACCTAGCAGGCTCCCAGCTGCTTCAGTCAGGGAAATGAAACATGTCCTCTCCACTGGCTCTTACAAAGTTGGGGGAGAGAGACTGACCACTCAGATAGGGCACTGCTCATCCTACCTCTGAGCTCCAGCAATCTAGAGCTGGGGACCACCCTGACAGGGCAGTTCCACCTGCCAGCTGCAGGGCCCCTCTGAGAGTCCAGCCAACTGCTGTTGCACAAAACCCAGAGATGCCCCCTTGCTTCACTGTCCTCAGCATGGAAGGAGCCACTGCTCACTAGCCAGATGCTCAGAGCTTGAGGCCCGGACTATTTCCATTAACTAAGTCTCCCAGTTTATAAAAAAGTTAATAGGTACCATAATAGTTATAAAAATTGTGGTCTACTAAACATTTCTACATTTAACATGCTCATTTTATAAAAGGGGGTTTCAAAAACAATTAAATGAAAAGATAGTGGAATCTGTCCATGAACTTTTGAAGCCCCATGTATGTAACATACGCTAGTACAGCTGCAGGTTTGCTCCCTTGGAAATGGTGATGGGAGTCTAAATCTGAGCTCTGTGTGTGGCCCTCCTGGAACAAGCCGTACATATAGGTGACAGATCAGGGCCCCAACCCAGTGACTCCAAATAAGGGATACTGGGCATGAAGCCCAGTGCATGCTGGCACTAGCAGCCCACAGTCCCACATAATACAGCTTTCATGTCTTGAATACCATAGGGTGGTCAATGATTAGCGATGGGGAACAGTGTTGGAGACACTACGCAGCTGCCTAGAGTCAGTACTTTTACTTGATAGTTGACATCCAACTCTTTTCCCTGCAAAGCACTGGAGGTGGCTCATGAGGCTGCCCACAATAGCACAAGAGAGAAAGGTGAGAACAAGCAGGAAGCAGGGAGAAGGATGAGGGGAAGGGAAACCAGGACAGGGACCCCAATTGGATTCTAGGTGATGCAGGCAGAGCTCAGCAGAAGCCAGAGGAGTGGCCACAGGAATCCTGGGACTGACTGTCATGCCCTGTAAGGCCAGTAGGGATGCCTCATTTGGCTACCCCCAAGGCCAAAGGATGCGGAAGGAGAAGAGGCTTGTGGGGGAGGGAGGAGAGAGGGTTTACAGCCAATGCCCCCTTGTCCTTCCAGAAAATGGAGTTGGCGCTGGTACCCCTGAGTTCCCATGGCAACTTCTATGAGGGGGACTGCTACGTGGTCCTCTCGGTGAGTACCATCCTCCCTACAGCCCTACCAGCTTCACCCTTGAGACCAGGCTCTCCGTCTGATTCTTCCTTGGTGATGTACAGAGAAGACCTCCAGTTTGCCCATCAAAGGCCATCCTCAGGTCTGCTAGGGTTTTTAATTTTGCCTCAGAGGGCGGGGCACTGACCTCAGCAAGCAGAACAGCAGCACCAGGCCACAGACTCAAGGCGAGCAGAGGAAGACCAGATCACTTCAAGGCCCCTGCTTCCCAGCGCTCCTTCTAGCGGAGGAAACTCTCCCACCTTAGTGAGCACACAGCTGTACGGATCACATGGCAGCTTGAGGGTGTGAAGGGCTGGTGGCTCAGTGGAGCCAAGGGGGCAGTGAGCCTTGCCATCCAGCTCTGACAAGATCCCTGCTGGTCCCCATTTATATTGGGAACAAGCTGTCAGTCAGTCCACTGTCCCCAAACACAGGGAGGAATTTGGGCTGCCAGAGCTTGGGCCACACAGCAGGTCTGCACAGGAGCCAGGATAGCTGCAGAGAAGAAGGGGATCCTAAGCCTACTGAATGGATACTGTCATCAGTATCCCAGCAGCAAAGGGGCAGAGAGGCGGGCCACCTCCTGACCTGATGTTCTTGGCTACATTCCAGACCCGAAGAGTGGGAAGTCTCCTCTCCCAGGACATCCACTACTGGATCGGGAAGGACTCCTCTCAGGACGAGCAGAGCTGTGCGGCCATTTACACCACCCAGCTGGATGACTACCTCGGAGGCAGCCCGGTGCAGCACCGAGAGGTCCAAGACCATGAGTCTGACACCTTCCGGGGCTACTTCAAGCAGGGCATCATGTGAGTAGTGATGCCCAGAGCAAGCTTACAGTGGAAAGACAAAGGGCCAATAAGCATATAAAGAAAGCAATCAGAGAAATGTAAATCAAATCAAAGCTGTCACTTTTGCCTATAAGAGTAGCATAAACCAGAGAAGTGGGTTGTCGAGGTCCTATGACAGGTTCTAGCCTCGACAAGGAAGTGTCACGAAGTGTCACGAAGAAGGGAGATCTGGCGGCGAAAGGGATAGAGACAGAGAAAGATGAAATATATACAAAAAAGACAGACACACAAATATGATGCAAGCTGGCAGGTAGACAGATCTGCAAACATATTGCCTAGCATTGCCCAGCATTGCATGCAGAACTCACTCTACCTCAGCCTTTTATTCTCTTTTTTAGGGAGGGATTTATTACAAAGGAAGGATGTAATTCACAAAGGGAGGATGTCACAAAGGGAGGATGTGATTAAGATAGGATACGGAACTGAAATGTGATTAATCATTCAAAACAGGACATAATGATTCACAAGAACAACTTTTAAGATATTTTCATAGTTTTTTCTTAACAATCTAACATTTTTATTTTTACAGAAAAAAGGTTCAATCAAGCTGTTATATATTAATTTTTAGGCTTAAATGATCTAGAGCAGTGATGTGCGGTTTCTTAAGGATACTTAACATAAAGCAAGGTTCCTGAAAGGAGCCAAGCTGTCTCTGTACACTTTGCAAACTTTTGTTTGTGAGCAAGATCTCAGGCACCGGGCTTCATTTATCTATACCTAAAATGCTACATTGTTCTTAATTATCACATTCCTATATACTTTCAGGAGGAAGAAGAGCATCTGGGTTAAACTGATTATATTCAGAGGTGGTTCAATGGGGCTGCCACTGATCAACCCAGGGTCTGCGTATGCTGTCCCCAGCACTGGGTGGTGTGAACTATTGGCAAGACTGCAAGAAAATAGGGTCCTTGTGCCCTGCTGATGGCAGTGTGGGCTGGCACAGTGTTGTGGAGAGAGAGCAGTCTGCTGCCACTTGGACACATTCCACTTCTGGCTCTGTACTTCATAGAAATGCTCAGCCAGGTCAGTGAGGGCACATAAACCAGAATATTCAGAACCAGGTCATTAGTGGTGACTGGAAGCTGCAGGCAACACGGGTGTCTATCCTGAGAGACCCGATAGGTGCATGCTCCACGCACACCACAGACTATGTAGGAGCTAGAAGCCAGAGATTCGATATATACATAACACATGCACAGATCTGAAAGGAAAGAAAGAAAGAGGTACGTAACAGAAGATCAGTTGGGTTTTTTTTTAAAGTACGTGCATGCAAAACAACAGGATACATTTTACCAGAATAAAAATAGAGACATTAATTAAGCATGTTAGGAGGGTTGCCTAGAGTGGGGAGAAGCTGGGAGCACATGCAGACAAAAAGAATATATGCACACTTAAAACTAGAGGGTTCTTGTAAAGACAGTGATGATAATGTGCCAAGACTGAAGAGTTCGGTCAACTCAAATTTTTGCATTTAAGATTAAAAACAAAAAGGGGGTCAGGAGACAAAGGCATTCCAATGCACTTGTAACACAGTTAGCATCCCCTCTGACTGAGAACTGCCATCGAGTAGATCCAGACCACCAGTGACCCTGGAGGACAGAGTAGAAATGCTCCATAGGGTTTCCGAACCTGTAAATCTTATGGAAGCAAACTGCCTTACCCTTCTCCCAACATAGGGAGCCGCAGGACTCCAACAGACAGGAAAGCTGTTGTTGTCAGGTGCCATCAAGTTGGTACAACCCATAGCGACATTATGCACAGCAGAAGGAAACAATGGCCCGATCCTGGGCCAACCTCACTACTGTTGCCACGCTTGAGTCCATTGATGCTGCCATTTGGCCAATCCATCCAGGGGCTTCTTAATCAGACAATTTCCAAAGTTGGCCTTAAGAGTCGTGGTGTTATGGATGCTGCTGCTGCCCCTTCAGGCCCCTCTTTCCCTCACACACTGATAATACTCAGTCAGTTTCTAGAACAAAACCAAAGCTTTCATGTCACAGCATCTTTGTAACTGAGGCTCCTTCCCTCTGCCCAGAGCGTTCTTCCTTCTCATCTTAAGATCTCTTCCCTCAGATGTCACTTCTTCAGAGACATCCATGAACTCCCTATCAAAAAGTCAGTCACCAAGTCTATTGGTTGCACCTCACTTATATATTGTCCGCCTGGACAGAGGCTGCACCTATGGGATTCACCACAGTCTCCCTGTTACCTAGTACACAGCAGGTACTCAACCAATAACTGAATGGATGTTCCTGCAGCTACAAAAAGGGGGGTGTGGCCACCGGGATGAACCACGTGGAGATCAATACCTACGATGTGAAGCGGCTCCTACATGTAAAGGGGAAAAGAAACCTCAGGGCCACTGAGGTAAGTCCTGCCCACTGTCTGCCTTGGCCCAGGGTCTCCCCACCTGGCACCTAAGAATTCCTCCTGAACAATGTCTAGCTCTCATCTGCAGGTGGAGATGAGCTGGGACAGTTTTAACAGAGGTGATGTCTTCTTGATGGACCTTGGGAAGGCCATCATCCAATGGAATGGCCCTGAGAGCAACAGTGAAGAGCGCCTGAAGGTATGACGATTTCCAAGAGTCTTTGTACTCTCTGAGATGCCTTTTCCTTCTGCCTTCTATGCTGGCTTGTCCCCAAGAGTCACACTGGGAGTACTGTCTTGGTGACAAGCCAAATCTGTGATCCTGTGACTTTGTCACCTCTGAGCTCTCAGCATCAGAGTATCTCCTATGTCTAGGGTCCAGGCTGCTCCTTCCAAAGCCATCAAACAAAATGGGTGCTTAGATGAGCTGAATGCTTCATTGGGCTCTTTTGGCAGGCTATGCTTCTGGCAAAGGATATTCGGGACAGGGAGCGAGGGGGCCGTGCTGAAATAGGAGTGATTGAGGGAGACAAGGAGGCAGCCAGCCCAGAGCTACTGAAAGTCCTTCAGGACACCCTTGGCCGGCGCTCCATTATCAAGCCTGCAGTCTCCGATGAGATCATAGATCAGCAAAAATCAAACATCACACTGTACCAGTGAGTAGACAAACTTGGGTGCTGGTTGGAAGCAGAAGTAGAAGGATGGTGTCCCCTAGAAAACCAGGCTCCCCATTTGGGGTGTAACCATCTAACCTTCTTCTTGGTCCTTTTTTAAAGCATCTCCTAAAAGGACCTTAGTCCCACTCAAGGCCAGAAAACCCAAAAACATCAAATTGAGCAGATGTGCTGTAGCACAAGCTAACCTCCTCCCTTCTCTAGTGTCTCAGATGCAGCTGGGCAGCTGACCGTCACAGAGGTCGCCACGAGGCCTTTGGTTCAAGACTTACTGAACCATGATGTAAGTAGAGCTTGGGTGGGCTGAGCCTGAGTAGCCAGGCCTGGTTTCAGAAGCAGGCCCTAGGAAAAGGCCTTCTTTGGGGTCTTGAGCAGCAGTAACCACATTTATCCCTGACTGCTTCAGGACTGCTATATCCTGGACCAAAGTGGATCCAAGATCTACGTGTGGAAAGGAAAAGGAGCCACAAAGGTTGAGAAACAGATGGCCATGTCTAAAGCCCTGGTAGGAACTACAAATCTACAACACTGTCCAGATAATTCTGTTGTGTACATTTCACGTGCTTGGAGAGTCATATTAGGTGCCTGAACATACAACATTGTAACCACATGTACATACATGAACTTCAAAGTTAGACAAATTGGGATTCAAATCTGGATTTTGCCTTTTCCAGATGAATGATCTTAATAAGACTATATAACACCTATGTCTCAGTTTCATCATCTCTAACATGGAGATGATACTATCCATCACTTGAGGTTGTCGTGAGATTAAACAATGTTTGTAAAGCTCTCAGGACAGTTCCTGGCACACAATGCCTGCTAAAAAAGAGGGTGTGGGTAGAATTGAAGGGGATATCACATATCAAGGTAATGGCTCTGTCTTCGAGGAGTTATGATATAGTGCATACCCGTGCAGGCAAACTAAATGATGCACTTACAACGCACTGAGCAAACTGAAGTGACGCAAAGTCAATGGGGAAGCTAAGTACTGAGAGGATACAGCACAGAGGATCTTGCAAACAATAATAACCCCAACGATGACATGCTATTAAAGAGATACCAAAGCTCCCCATTCTGCCCTTTCCTTGGCCCCTAGGCAGCAGTGATTCAGAATTTGACTAAGTCCCAGAGGGGACCCAACCATCAGCTTACTTCAAATGGGAGAATCCCCAAACAAACAAATAGTCTAGTGCATTCCCCAACTGACCCAGCTCTCTGGGGTGGGTGTATGTGCAGAGCTTCATCAAGATGAAGGGTTACCCTAGCAGCACCAACATAGAGACCGTCAACGATGGTGCTGAGTCGGCCATGTTCAAGCAGCTGTTCCAGAAGTGGTCAGTGAAGGACCAGACCGCAGGCCTAGGGAAAACATTCAGCATTGGGAAAATTGGTGAGATTGCACCACAGATCATCCTTACTGCCAGAAAAATCTCTAGAAAAACGAGCATTGATGCTTCTCACTCACTTAGCTTGTCCCAATCCCTTCTCTGCAGCTAAAATTGCCCAAGATAAGTTTGATGTGACTGGACTGCACAACAAGCCAGAGGTGGCTGCCCAGGAAAGAATGGTTGATGATGGCAATGGGGAAGTTGAGGTAAGTTGAGATGGTTCCAATCTCAAGGGAGCAGCCCCAACACACTTGATGGTTCTTGCGATAGAGGAAGCAGCAGGTAATTCTGCGTCTGCCTTGCTTTCCTGGCGCCTGCTTACATTCCTCAATAGACTTCCAAGTTTGCAGTTCTCCCACAGTTCTTCAGGAACATGTGGAAGGCAGATAACTAAATGTGCTATCAGTAACTCCACCTGGTAGGTCTATTCAAATCCTCTCAGCTGGCAGAGATTGAGTCATGATGGGATGCTACTGACTACCGGGCTATAGGGACCATCTAGTTCTTCTTAGGATTCAAATCATGCAAATAAATGTGTTATAGTCCTCACCACTGGAAAAGACGAATCAAAGGGGGAAGGGGTTCTTTAGATGAAAGTTGGTGCCTCACCACCACCTGGATTTTCTGTTAAGCTTGGCCCAGCTCCCTTCACATACTTCCTCTCTTCTTCTATCTAACAAGACCCTCATTTCTAGGGAATTATGTCTCCTTCTGCACCCAGGTTTGGAGAATTGAAAACCTGGAGCTGGTCCCCGTGGAGCATCAGTGGTATGGCTTCTTTTATGGGGGAGACTGCTATCTGATTCTCTACACATATAAGGTGAATGAGAAGCCACACTATATCTTGTACATTTGGCAGGTAGGCCTGGGGCAGGCTCTTGGTTTGGGATACTGATGCTCCTCCAGCCACAGGGCTGGGCTGGAGGTAGAGGGGCCCCTCACTTGCCCTCACTCTGCAGGGCCGCCACGCCTCCCAGGATGAGCTGGCAGCCTCAGCATACCAGGCGGTGGAGGTGGATCAGCAGTTTGATGGGACACCTGTGCAGGTTCGGGTCACCATGGGAAAGGAGCCACGCCACTTTATGGCCATCTTCAAAGGGAAGCTGGTTATCTTTGAGGTAAGGACCTCCAGATAAAGTTACACCTTGAGCAGGAATGGGCAGAAATAACAGGCCAGCAGGGGGCTGCATTAGAGGAGAGATGGAGCACTACCGAGAAGCAGGGGTTAGGTAGGCACAGAGTGAGAAGAGGATTAATCTAACACACGTTAGTGACTCCCAAGTCCAAACCACTGCAGGATGATTGAGGTCTTTCCTAATGTACCCATACAGCCTGCACAGGTGCTTCTCTCCACTGTTTAACACTCTAGTCAGGTGGTGGTTGGTGGTTATGTGCCATGGAGTCGGTTCCAACTCATAACGACCCTCTGCAAGTTTTCCAAGGCTGTAAATCCTTATAGGAGAAGAAAGCCTCATCTTTCTCCCATAGAATAGCTGGTAGTTTCAAACTGCTGACCTTGAGGTTAGCAGCCCGATTTGTAATCACTACGCTACCAGAGCTCCTTCCAGTCAGGTAGGTCTCCTCAACAGACCTACATGTGCCATAAATTGGGCTAGTAATCTCACGGTCAGCAGTTTGAAACTACCAGCTGTTCCCACAGGAGAAAGATGAGGCTTTCTGCTCCCATAAAGATTTACAGCCTCGGAAACCCTGTACAGGATCGCTATGAGTCAGAACCGACTCCACGGCACGTAACAACGACAACATCTCGTCTCCTTCACAGGGTTATTATGAAGAGCAATTAATTGATATCAGTAAGTCACCAATCATAGAGGTGGCATATAATAAAGTTCTCAAATGAAAGCTAATATTATTGTTACCATAACTGTAACTTACCCTGGCCTCTGTGTTAGCCTAGACATGGCAAAGACAGACAGCATCACATTCTCCACAAAACACTAGCAAGTGTTGTGCTCACATGATGCTCCTTAGATCCAGACATTGTTCTTCTTTCTAGGGTGGAACTTCCAGGAAAGGAAATGCTGAGCCTGATCCTCCAGTAAGGCTCTTCCAGATTCAGGGAAATGACCAATCTAACACCAAAGCAGTGGAGGTTCCAGCCTTCGCCTCTTCCCTAAACTCCAATGATGTCTTTCTGCTGCGTAGCCAGGCAGAGCACTACCTGTGGTATGGCAAGGTAGGAAGGCTGGGCCCAGTGGTCACATCAGCCCTTAGAAGCCCAACCTTGTGCCAGTGCTCATGTCAGCAAGGTCAAAGGGACTACAGAGTCAGCTAGAGCAGTCCTTACAAGAGGAAAGCTTTTCCCGAAATGATCTCCAAAGGAATCACCAATGTTTCCTACCATTAACCTTCCAGTGAGAAACTCACTAGCAGCAACAGACACCCCACAAACTTCTAAGGGGTGAGAGGCTGGATGAGGCAAGCTTTCCATACTAGTTTGGTGGACTACAGCAGGACACTAAAAACAAAAACACTAAAAATATGTTTTTGTCGATTCAGATTTGTATCGGCGTATGCATTTTAAGTTTTATAATAGAAGATTCGACATAAAAAAGATGCTCAACAATGTGAGTCATTAAGAAAATGCAAGTTAAAGCCACAATGAGATGGCACTGCACACTTACAAGAATGGCCAAAAGAAAATTAATATCAAGTACTTACAAGGATACAGGGTCAGGTACTCCCATGCATTACTGATGCGACTGCAAAATGATACACAGCCTTTAAACAGTTTGACAGTTTCTTAAAAAGTTAAACACACACACCAACCAGATGATCCAGTTATCTCACTCCTAGGTATTTATCCAAATAAAATAAAAGCTTCTTTTCACACAAAAACCTGTATAAAAATGTTTATAGCAACTGTATTCCTAATTGCCCAGAAGTGGAAACAACCCAACTGGAGAATGGATAAACAAACAGTGGTACACCCATACAAAGGAATAAGACAGGAAGAACCACTGAAACACAGCTCAAACACATTACTAAGCGAAAGGAGCTATACCCAGAGGCTACATATTGTGTAATTCCACTTATATGATATTCAGGAAAAGGCAAATCTATAGTGATAGAGAACAGAAGAGTGACTGCCAGAGGTTAAGAGAAGGGGAGGGAAGAGAGTTTAACATCGAAGGGGTAACACAAAAGAATTTGGGGTGAGCAGAAAGGAGACTGGTCTGTATCTTAATTTTGGTGTTAGTAACATGATTCCATGCATTTTTCAAAACTAGAATTGTACACTAAAAAAGTCTGAATTTTACTAATGCAATTTTTTTAAGTCAACTAAATTTTTTTTCTTTTCTAAGAAGAGAATCAAAAGTTGCCACTAATAATCCAATTGAAGCGGAAATAAAGGAGACTTGTCAGCATCCACTGTGGGTTTGAGAGTCTAGTCCTGTTCCTTGCCTCCCCAGTTCCTAGCACTAGAGCAAAGCTGCCTCTTCATCTGAGGCCTGGTCCCCAGCCACACTGAGCTGTATCAGTCTTAAAAGCTTCGTGTTCCACATCAACATGCCCATGCGAGACTAACCATCTGTGCTCTCCACACTCCTCTCTCAGGGGTCTAGTGGGGATGAGCGGGCCATGGCTAAGGAGCTGGCTGGGTTTCTCTGTGATGGCACTGAGGACACCGTGGCTGAAGGCCAGGAGCCAGTGGAGTTCTGGGACCTGCTGGGAGGGAAAACTCCCTATGCTAATGATAAAAGGTATGGAAACATGACCCCCTTCTTCTTGGCTTCCCACTGCCTCCTCACTCATGAACTACATGAACCCTAAGGTTCCTTTTGGTTAATATATATATTTTTCTGGTTTTTTACATGTCTGTATTTCATATATACCTTATAGATATGACTTAAAAGCAGCTCAGTTCCTCTAAACGTACTTACTCTATTACAGACTACAGCAGGAAACTCTAGATGTCCAGCCCCGTCTCTTTGAATGTTCCAATAAGACTGGCCGCTTCATTGTCACTGAGATCACAGACTTCACCCAGGATGACCTGAACCCTGGTGATGTAATGCTCTTGGATACATGGGACCAGGTAAGACACAGAACTCTGTCAATTTTGTATCCTAGTTCCCCTCCCACCCCTTAGAATAAACACCATGGTAGCACTGGCTCATTCAGTCACACATCTGTTGATAGAGAGCCAAACAAGAGTTTGCATTTTTCCCAGGGTTGAAGAAAATAGAAAGTTGTTGGAAATTCTCACCCTCCTTTGGGAAAAGCAGGCCATGCTATTAACATGCACTCTCTTCTCTTAGGATCATAGTGGCAGATTCCAAATCCAGAGACCTAGACCTTTTTGGCATAGTGGGTGTGGCCGGGATATTTTCAAGGCCAATTCTCCACATCCTATCTTGGATGTACTTGGAGCAAACTCCATGTACTTCCTCTATGCTTGGCACTGAGCTAGATGTGGTGACATTAAGATGAAGGCCCCTGCCCTCAGGGTTAACAGGGGGAGCCAGACAGACACATCATCTTACTATGATGGAGGTAAGCACCTGGGCCCATGGAGCCATATTAGGGGATCAACATAGTTTAGGAACTGCGAGATTTCCTAGAGGAGATGGCTGAACCTTAAAGGGTGAGTAGCCATTCACAAGGTAAAGAAAGTGTAGAGAATTTAGGCAGCAGAAACAGCACAAGTAAAAGCAAAGGATGAAATATTATAGTGGGTGGTGACGATGTTTGTGTGCCATGGAGTCGATTCCAACTCATAGCAACCTTGTATGGAGTTTCTGAGGCTGTAAATCTTCACTGGAGCAGAAAGCCTCATCTTTCTCTCATGGAACAGCTGGTGGACTTAAACTGCTACTAGGACTCCTTGAAATCTTATAATATATAGGACAGTCTAAGAAATATTATACAACATCAAATAGAGTTAAGGAGCATCCCAGACATGAAGCTGAAGAAATAGGTATGAGCCTTATCAACCATGTCAGGAAGCTTGAAATTTATCCTGGAAATTCACTAAAATTAAGGAGTGGAACAGGATCAGACTATGCATTAGGTAGATCATTCCAGTAGATGTGGGATGAGAATGGTGGAGGAGAGAAGAAGAAAAACAAAGACTGTTCACTGGGAGGCCAGTCAGTGGACCATTATATTTACTAGTCCAGCAAGGGCTGCTGTCAACCTGCACTAGTGCAGTGAGGAGTAGGGATGGAGGGATGGTGACAGAATTGACAAGCATGGTGAGGAAAAGTTGGCAAGCCCTACTGACTGACTGGATTGGCTGTAGGGGAGGGGCAGGCATTCAGGATAATCCTCAGGTTTCTACCTTGACTAGAAAGTTGCCACTCACCAACAGTGGAGATATAAGTTTTATATTTAGGGTATGATATTTGAGATGCTTGGCATAGCCAAGAGATGTTTTGCACCTGGATTCAGGAAACTAAAGTTTAGAAGAGAGTTCAGGACTACAGATGTAAATTTTGGAGGTATAAAGTTTTGTATCTCCAAAAGTTTACATCTCTAGTCCTAAACTGGGCGGCAATTAAAACCACACATATCTAGCTGATTCTGGGGAAATCTTGGTCTGCTTAGGAAAGTTTCCTAATGCAATTAATTGCTGAAGGGGTAAGATAAGGTAGTGTGCATGATGTAGAACTCAAATCTTTGGTATGAGCACTCTAAGAGATATCAACTCCCTACCACAACAGGTCTTCTTGTGGATTGGGGCTGAGGCAAATGCCACAGAGAAGGAGAAAGCTCTGGCAACAGCTCAGGAGTACCTGCATACCCACCCCAGCGGCCGAGATGCGGACACACCAATCTTGGTCATCAAACAGGGGTTTGAGCCTCCTATCTTCACGGGTTGGTTCCTGGCCTGGGACCCTCACATTTGGAGTGTAAGAGCAAAGAAAATGGACAAGACATTCTTACTGTGGGGCAACTCAGGACTACTAGTTCAGTGAGGGGGTGGGGGGCCAGGTTCTAGGGCTGAGTGAAGCCAGGGCTTCATTTCCTCCACACTCACTTCACCCTTCCATTTTACTTTCTTTTCATTCCCACTTACCAGAATACTAAGTCCAGTTGGAGACTTCATAGCTTGTCTCAAGAATAAGCAGTGCATATAAGTTTGTAAAATGCCCACAAATACATCATCTTTTGATTTGTACAAACTATCCTGAGACAGCCAGGATAAGTATTGTTTCCCATTGTATAAATGAGAAAGCTAAGCAGATAAGGCATTTGTCTAAAGACAGCCCATAGCCACACGATTTTTGACTCTTAGTCAACTGTTCTTTCTCAAATCTGGCACCAAGAAGGGAGGAAGCCATTAAAGAATGCAGATGTTTCAGCACCTTCTAATCCTGCAAGGTCCCAGAAGTGGGGAGTTGTCATCTTCGCTAATCCCTCACTTGTCCTGATTCCTTGGCTTCCCCTCCCCTCCAGAGGGTATAGATCAAACCTGAGATACCCTCTCCCACAAACAGCAACTCATCCTGTGTTGTCTTTTTCTCAGGCAGGAAAATCATATGAACAATTAAAAGAAGAGCTGGGAGATACTGCTGCTATCATAAGAATCACTGCTGTGAGTGTATTAGGTGTTACGGAATTGTGTACCCCAAACTATGTGTTGTAAATCCTAACCTCTATGCCTGAGGTTATAATCCCATTTAGGGATGAGTTGTCTTTGTTATGCTAATTGGGAGAGAGGGACCTAGGGTAGAGTGTTTCTTGAACCAATCTCTCTTGAGATATGAAATTAAACAAGCAATCCAGCAAGCAAAGGGGGAACACGTGCCAAGCAGCATGATTACCTGGGAGCAAAAGCTAAAAGAAACAAGGGAGAGAGCCTTTCCCTATAGCCAGCACTCTGATTTTGGACTTGTAACCTCCTAAATTATGAGAAAATAAATTTCTGTTTTTTAAAGCCAACCACTTATGATAACACTGGCAAACAGTTGGGTTTGCGCATAGAGAAGTCAGTCACACAGGTAAACAGCCAGTGGCAGACAGCAATGCGCCATGGGCGACCCCGTGTCATGTCCCTTTTAGCACTACTCTTGTCATCTATTCTGATATGATGATTTTTTTTCATCAGTAGAAAAGCAGGTCTCTGAGCCAAGTCCCATATTTTACTATCTTCCAGAATTTAAAACAGATTTTCCATTCAAAACAAAGGAACAAAAAACTAATTTTAATTATTCAACTTTCTGCCATTCAGGAGAGATTGCATTTACTGACATTTTTTAGAAATAAGCTTCTAACTCGTGACATTTTTATCAGTGTCTAACAACAAAGTCCACAGAACCTTAGGTCATCTAGCCCTATTTTAGTGGCTAAGGGGAGTCTCTTCACTTTTTTAATCTATCAGGAATCCATCAGCTTTTTTAACACCAAGGTGAGTGCATGGCAACCATCTGGCAATTTCATCCGTGTGCTCTGACACACTCAAGATTCCAAAGCTAAGGGTGATTGTTGTTGTTACGCGTCGCTGAGCTGGTTCGGACTCATAGCAACCCTATATTGGGTTTAACGGTCATGTATAGGGTTTCCAAGGAGCAGCTGGTGAGTTTGAACCACCAACCTTGTGGTTTAAACCAACCGTGCAGTCTAGTCCTTTATCCCACAGCGCCACACCAACTCCTTTAAAAGTTATTTAAGAAAAGTATGACACGAGTTATTAAAACCTGGGAAATGTAGGGCCTAACTAAACACCTAGAGAAGACATGTGATCCCAATATTTAAGTGAGATTTAAGCATAGCATTTATGCCAAACTGGCTATACAAGAAGGGGGTTTTTTGTTTGTTTTGTTTTTTTAATTTCCAGGACCTACATTAGACTTGGAGTCCTGGTGTGGCACTGTATGATAATGCACTGGACTGCAGGGTCAGTTTGAACTGCATGACTGGTGGTTCAAACCAACCAGTCACTCAGAAACCCTATACAAGGTTGCTATGGTTGGAACCGACTCCATGGTACTTCACCACCACCACCTTAGACTTGGTGTGGCGCTGTGGGTTAATGCGTCAGATTGCAAAGCCATTTCAGCTGCAAGGTCGGCAGTTCAAGCTCGCCAGCTGCTCCTCGGAAACCCCACACAGGATCATTATGGGTCGGAACCGACTCGATGGCACTTAACAACAACAACCTTAGACTTACAGAATCTGCATTTCCAAGGCCCCCCCCAGTCTGAATTTTTAAAATTCCCTGATGATTCCAACATGCAACCAGGTTTAGAGTCCACTGTTTAGTATAAGCCAAAATGTTAAGTATTATACAAACGGTTGTTAAGTGCCATCAAGGTTGAGTTAGTTCTGACTCACAGTGACCCTGTATCGGGTTTCGAGGAGAGGAGGTGATGTGAACTGCCAACCTTATGGTTAGCAGTCTAGTGCTTATCCTACAGGCTACACTAGGACTCCATACAGAACTGTAATTACACATTAAACAGGTTTTCCTATGTCTACATTCTTGTCTTACCTAGGACATAAGGAACACCACAATCATGTCCCTGAATTCTGACTACAGCGAGCCAAAATATTACCCTGTAGAAGTTCTTCTGAAGAACCAGAATCAGGAACTGCCTGAGGATGTGAACCCTGCCAAAAAGGAGGTGAGTGGCTGAAGGAAGTGAGACTGATGCAAGGGGAGCTCTCCCTAAGTAGAGCACCCATCTCAGAAAGTGGCCTAGGGTAGTTCTGGTACACTGGACGTACTCAACAAACAGCCAAGCTACCCAGCAACTCCAGCCCAAAACTCATGGCTCATTCTTTTTCTTTTAAAAAACTTTTTATTGTGAATTAGGTCAAGGTTTACAAAGCAAATCGGTTATCCATTCAACAATTCCTATATTTTATTTCCTATCATTGATTGCAGTCCCCACAATGTAACAATTTATCCTACGTCCTGTGTTGCGTGTTTCCATTCCTTCTCCGTTCCTAAACCTAACCCTTCAGAACTCTGTCCTTGGACAAATGCTGCCCTTTTGATCTCAAAGGGTTCGTTTTTTCTAGAAGTACACACCTAGTGTTATTGTTTCCCTTAGAGTACAGACTTATTATTTGGCTGAAAATTGAGCCAGAGGGGTGAGTTAAGTTACAGACCTGAAGAGTGGTAAGGGCCATCGTCTTAGGGGTTGTTCTTCCAATCTATCCAACCAGTAAGCCTGGTCATTGCTAAGATTTTGAGTTTCGGTCCACATTTTTCTCCTACTCCATCCAAGACCTTCTAGTGTGATCCCTTTCAAAGCAACTGGTAGTGGTAGCTGGGTGCCATCTAGTTCTGGTCTCAGGGTCAGGGAGGCTAATGCTCATGTGGTCTATCAGTCCACTGGACTACTTATTTCCATACCTCTTTGATTTTCTTCATTCTTTTTGATTCCAGACAGGAAGAGACCAATATTGTACCATACATGGCTGCTCATGAGCTTTTGAAATGCAGTCCATATTGGCTCAGTGACTTATTCCTTCAAGATGTTTGGTTATGTCTAAGAAATTTTCATAACTTTTGAATTTGAAAATTTCTGGGCAAAAAAAAAAAAATGGTAATTAAGGGTATAATGCCATTCTATAATAATCTAATGTCTATAATTAATGCATTTAATATAACCCAGCTATTGTCCTGGCATGGCACTGTGGGTTCATGCACTGGACTGCAAAGTTGGTTTGATCTACAAGGTTGGTGGTTGAAGCTCGCCAGCCGCTCTTCAAACACCTATACTGGGTCAGTATGGGTCAGAACAGATTCAATGGCATTTAACAACATTGTCCTTCTGGAGTCCTGGTGTGGCACTGTAAGACAAGCACTGGGCTACTAACTGAAAGGTCAGCAGTTCAAACCCACCACCCACTCCTCAGAAACGCCATACGGGGTCACTCTGAGTCAGAATCGACTTGACAGCACCTAACAACATTGTCCTGGCAAGAAACTGGTACCTGCTAGACCAAAATGAGTCTCCACAGCTTAAAGACTTCTCCAGTCATTTAATTCTAGTACAGAGTTTCAGAAAACTGCATTCTGCTCCCACCATCAAGGATCAAGGATCAATCCAGGACTACTGCTTCCAGCCCCAGCTAACTCTCCCTACCTCCCCACTGGCACTGACAGGTGTCATGTCTTCCTTCTAACCAGAAACCTTGTTTTTTTTTTTTTTTTTAGAATTACCTTTCTGAACAGGACTTCGTCTCTGTGTTTGGCATCACAAGAGGGCAATTTTCTGTTCTACCTGGCTGGAAACAGCTCCAACTGAAGAAAGAAAAGGGTCTTTTCTAAGGCATGAAAACATATGCCTATTACAAGACCATTGCTATTGAAAGACCACAGAAGAAAGCAGATAGTGCCAATATCAGGAAAAAAGTTACCTACCAACATTCAGCTAATTTAGACACAACAGGGTCTGCAAATCATAGCATGTTCTCCGTTTTTTTCCTCATCTGTATATTCCTTAATTATTTTATACCTCAAATGGTAACTATCCAAATTTTGGGTTTTGTGGCCTTTTGGCTAAAATACTTCAGTAGAAAGCACTAAAACTGCATGAATCTAGAAAAATCAAAAGTAAGATAATCAAAAGAATTAAGCATAAAATATTTAGTATTGGTGCCAGGATCTAAACTTATTTTTAAAAGATAGGCATTCCAAAACCGTAAACCCACAATTCATTAAGATTATTCACAAATGCACTCCAAAGTTAAAATCCAAATGCCCAGATCTATACGTGACAGAGCATTTTTAACTTTTCAAATAAAGATTCCCGTATGAGCAAATGGAGTTCTTTTTAATACTTGAGGTTTGCCTGTTCTGCTCATCTTTTGCTGGAAGAGAAGTTGCAGTATTGGAAATGGAGAGACAGTGGTACTGTTGAGTGAATTCCCTGGATAAGGTAAGTATTGTCAAGTCGACTCCCAACTCATAGTCACCCTGTATAGGGTTTCCGAGGATCAACTGGTGGGTTTGAACTGCCAACCTTGTGGTTTGCAGCCCAGTGCTGATCCTAAAGCATCACACCAAAACTTCCCCTGGATAAGCAGACCACTGTAATTCCTCTTCTGATACAGGAATGTCAAAATCTGCCTAGTGGCTATCCAAGAAACCTCAGTACCACCCACCCGTACCCATTACCCCAAAGACAGATCAGGCCATGTGTTAATTCAGTAAAGTTGTTAATTCAGTCAGAACCAGGGTGTGTGCCACCACAGACTACCTTCAAAGCATGCTACAGACAGCAACGAATGAGTCACATTTTCCAGACAACTCTTAACTTTGAATCAACAATTCCAAAGGAATTCATGGGGCAGAAGGCAATGTAGTTGTGGAAATTCTAGGATAATAATCCAAACATGTCACAAAATGAAAGCAAAATAAGATATTCTATGTTACCATAAGAGTTAGCTAGAATGGGTGAAATACAAATTTTAGGGACACCAGTTCAAACCTACCAACCACTCCTCAGAACTGACTGGACAGCACTTATCAACAACACAGTAAATATGGAGTCCTGGTGTGGTGCTGCAGGATAAGCACTGGATCACAAAGTTGGTTTGAACCACAAGGTGGGCAGTTCAAACCCACCAAACACTCCTCAGAAATCCTATACAGGGTTGCTATGACTGGGAACCAGTTCAGCGGCTAAAGTAAAGGCAACAGCAGCTTGTTGATGCCTGTTCTCCCAGACACTGTCAGGCACTTCAATAAGGCCCATGTATTGTTTTCTAAACTCGGTCACTGGTAAGGTACACAAAAGTTAAACACAATGTTACCCAAACAAGATGATTCAACTCTCTTTATTATATAAACAATTTTATTCCATAATTCTACCCAAGAAGGACATTATTTCATTATAAACCAAAAAAAACAAAGAGGCGTAGGAAATAACTTCTTTTTGTAATAATGTCCAGAACTAAGAATAAATATTTCTTCCTGGGCCAAAAGTCTCTGAAATCTATTCAGCCTCTGCCGCCTCTTCACCTTCACCACATTCAAACCTCACAAAGTCCACTACAGACACACCTTGAGGCTGCACATACTGTCCCAATGTGATAGAAGGATCTAGCAAGTATGGCTGGGCGAGCATCTTGGTTTCTGCCTCTCCCCCAGGCTCATCGTCCAAGGAGCCAACAGAGAGAGGGGCCATGCCCACCACATGCTGCCCAAGGCGGCGGCCAAGGTCTTGGAGGTTTGCTTTCCACTCAGATGCCTCACAGACAACCAGAGCCCCATACTTGCCCAACACCAGGTTGTGGAGTGAAGGACTGTGCACCACTCCATGGACATAAGAACCGACGTAGAACCCAGATGGCACCTTCACCCATGCGGCTCTTTTAAGAATCATGTTTTCTCCCAGGTTCCCTATTTAAAAAAAAAAAAAAAAAAATTCACAAAATTCCAACACACTACCAGAATGTGATGTCTGTGATAGCACCAAAATATGCATAGAGGAGGTCAAGTTTGACAAACAGTGTCTCTGCATTTGAATTTTTTACAAGATGAAGAGATACCACTTTGTTTTCGTTTAAAGACAAAATGGTTTGTAAAGGGTGGGGCTAGGGCTGGGGGACACCTTTACTGAGCACCAACTTTGTACCAGGCACTCTGGTATTTAAAAATATGGGCTATGCTGTCAGATAGTTCCTATACTCAGGTCTCAAGTCTACCTCTTACAGGCTGTGACCAAAGTGACTTAACAACAGAACCCTACTACTCATTTAATAAGCTTAGCTTCCTTGTCTATAAAATGGACATGATGCCATCCACCTTCTAGGGTTATCGGGAGAAATACACGATAATGTATATGAAAGCACTCATCGCAGTGTCTGACACCCAGTGGACGTTCAAATGCTAACCAATACTATGACATTAATATCAAAGAGACTTAGTTATCTGCCCAAGGTTACACAGCTAATGAATGGCAGAGCTAAAGTGAAAACTTAGATCTGACTCCAAGGCAGTTAAGTGCTTTTTCCTACCAAATTACTATCCCTCCCGAACACCACAATAACTGTCACCGATAGCTCCTGATCAGCTACTTTATGAGGAAAAACTCCATGACTAAAAGCCCCAGAAAACCCAAAACCCAACTCATCAGAGTTTCAACTTCCTCTCATTAAAAATAAAAATGTAATTATTTTCAGAGTTGTTTATTAGAACAAAAATGGGACTCCAGTTTCCTTTCTCCCAAGATCCTATTTCCTTCTGACAGAAGTCCTAATACAATGAAAGGTAGAACAAACGCCCTGCATAAGCTATAGCAGTATCTCCAAGTCATGAAAAGGGAGTATCTAGAAACCAACACAAGTTTAAAAACAACTCAAAGCATCTGCTCAATAGTTAATTCCCAGAAATTGACAAGACTGAAGCTCCCAGTTCTTCCAGAATTTCTTAATCAACCTCAATGCACTGCTGTCTGCCTGGTTTCTCGTACATGACTCACTGATTCATCAAATGACCTCATAAAAACAAAAGTCATGCCTTGTTTGGAAGCTTCAGATAAGCAGTTAAATTTCCAGCAAGCTCCAAGCCCAGACCCACTTCTCTTCATCCATTGAAGACATGTAGGAGGAAAGGAAAATCCCCACTAATTCTCCCACCATAATTCAGATTATGGTTTCTACAGTAAGTGGCTTCTAAAGTAAATGGACCTTCGCAGATTCAGGACCAGATCTTTTTAAAGAGATCAAATCCTTAAAAACAGTGCTCTTAAACTTTCCTGGATACCTTTACAGAGAAGGTGGGGTGACTTTTGATGTACTAGTTTTCTTAAAGCGTACAGTAAGGTAGCCAACTGGAAGTCAGAGGGCCATTCCTACATCTCTGGCTGCACCATGCTGGCCTGCACACAGCTGAAAATAATTTGAGTTGCCAGCAACTATAAATTGGGAGAATTCCCCATACATGTCTCATCATTTTAAAGGCATTTACAAACTGTAGCAATACTGGGGCCTATTTCGCCCACGATAACAATTAACTAGGGCTTGGTATAATGGCTGCCTCTTCCAGCACAGCACAAGCTCTTCAAGGTGCTTACCACTCCCCAGCATCTACCACACAGCCAGGTTCTCACACTGGAAGCCTAATCCTTCTAGGCACGAGAGTTGGAGGACCATCGTGGGACCATCTTTAATTTCCAGTTTCCAAAATCCTTACAAATACTTACCAATTGCTAGGGCCAACTGATCTTTGAGAAAGCTTTCTGTGTTAGGCCCAGCTTGAAGTTCCGAGAGCTCAGAGGAATTCAGAAAGCCCTACGTGGACAAAGAAAAGAAATCTGAACCAGTCCTATCTGCACTACTCAAATTACTAATAGGCAAAAACATCAAACATTTCTCAGAAAATGATTTAGATGATTAAATCCTGGTATGCTGCTGTAGTAGGATAAGCACTGGACTGCTAATCACAAGGTCAGTGGTCCAAATCCACCAGCCACTCCTCAGAAACCCTACCAGGGTCTCTATAAGCCACAATGGACTCAATAGCACTTAACAAGTATATACAGATGATATTGTCATTAAACCAAGGATGTCAAAAAAATTGGTAACTCCCAGCCTTTAATCTTCTTAGAATGCAATTTCCTAGAAATCTGGATCAATATTTTCAGACAATCATAAAATATTAAAGCCAGAATGTTTATAGATCATTGATGGGAATGTGAAACTGCACAAACCCAAAAGAGGGACACTGGGCACTATGTAACCAAACCACATATACAGTTTCCCTATGACCCTGCAATCTATTTCTAGGAATTTACTCTGAAGGTACACTTTCAATAATATAATACAACAATAAAAGTACAAAGGCATAAAATTATTCATGGAGACATTATTTCTAATTGCAAAATGTTGGAAACAACCTAAATGCCCAAACAAAAGGAGATGAGTTGAACGAACCATGACACACCCACCAAAAGAGTCTTTTTTTTTTTTTTTTTTTTTTGGTGTGTGTAGTTTTAACATTTGGCGCTTTGTTAATGTTTTGTATAGTCATAAAACAGAATCAACAAGGATCTGGAGAAAAAACTAAAATTGACTAAACAAACACACTATAACTCTAATTGGAACCCTAGTGGCAGAATGGTTAAAATGCTGAGCTGTAGAGCATGAAGGGGAGAGCAGGGTGAAGAGAGGAAGTAGACACAGGAGACTTAAAGCAAATAACTTAACATAGTCCTGTAACCACATACCTTCACTGTATAAACAAATAGTACAAAGAAATCTTCCAATAAGTAAATCTGTGTTTTGCAGTGGTCAAGTATAGCAACTCTGAAACTATTTTGTGCATATTGTACCACTGAATCAGTAAGAAACCTACAGCAGTTGCTAGGAGTCAGACTTTTCAGCAAGAGAGAAGGAAGATACAAATACTATCAGGGAGCAGGAAGGAAGAACCCTGTGGTGCTAGATTGGAACTGAAACACACACACTTCCTAAATCTGTCTGAGGAAAGAGCAAAACAGCAATGACATTTCAGTAACCCAGATCCTGGCTTCTATCACTCCCTACCATTCCTTGGAAAAGTGTCCAATTCCATGGCTGGGGCAGAGAAAGTACAACAAAAGTCCAGAATATCTTTATGTCAGAAAGTTGGGAAATGCTCAGAATATGAGAACATATCAAAAGAACACCAGTCAGCTGGAACAGGCTCCCAGTGGCCAAATCCAAAGATAATTTGAGCATCCTAATGTTAAAAATTACTGGAGTCCCAGTGTGGCGCTGTGGGTTAATGCGCCACACTGCAAAGCCATTTGAACTGCAAGGTCCGCAGTTCAAGTTTACCAGCTGCTCCTCGGAAACCCTATACAGGGTCGCCATGGGTCGGAACTGACTCGACAGCACTTCACAATGTAAAAAAAGGATGACTCCACAGAGTCTTGTTAAAGTTTTTATAGAATTATGGCAACTTTTCAATAAACTTGAAGTTGTTCAAAATAAAAGTTAAAAAAAAAATCAAGCTAAAGACCAAAACAGGGTGGCGTGAAGGGGTGACTGAAAGGGACTTGAGTATTTAAACCAAAGTCCCATGTTGCAGATAATGAAAAATAAAGCGAATAGCCCAGGGTCACAGTTATTGGCAAAACCTAGATTAGACATTTTCATCATCTATTCAACACAATTCTAATACAGTCTTCCATTTAATACGACTACTGCTTCTTGTTCAGCACTGTCAAGTCGGTTCTGACTCATAGTGACTCTGTGTAGGGTTTACAAGGAACAGCTGGTAAGTCTGAACCACTTGTGGGACTAAAACACTGAAACACTTGACAGCACTTAACAGCATACTAAAAATAAAGAATGAAGACTAAGGAGATAAAGCAACAGGACAAAGGGAAACTCCTCTATGAAGAGGTAACATTCAAGCAGAGATAGGAATACAGTAAGGAAGTGGGACAGGAGATTAGCTGAATAAAAATTAGGAAGAACAAGTGCAAACACCCAGAACAAATTAACAATGTTGGAGGTAACCCCTTCAAACTCACTTTACTGTATGTGGAAAGTTGATCCTTCAAGTTCTGACAATGCAACAAAGTTCCAATGGCTACTTGCTGAACCAATTGTTGAAATTTTGAATTTTTGGAAACAAAATCTGTCTCACAATTTACCTGCGGAAACAAATTGATGCTGCTGTATAAGCTGTTTATTGACAAGTTTCCAAAAATTCCATGAAAGTAAACCAAGTTAAAAACAGGCTGCTGACGGGACATAATAGAAATGAGTCTAGAATTTCAAAGTCACAACTCCTCTTCTAAATGATGTAAGAAGCTGAGTGAAGTAATTACTGCTGTACCAATTAATTAACAATAGCCTGCACATTCATTAAACAGTTTCACAATGCACCTCTTGCCTATGACTGGTGGTGGTGGTGGTTATATACCACTGAGTCGGTTCTGACTCATAGCAACTCTGTATAGGGTTTCTGAAGCTGTAAATCTTTACAGAAGCAGAGCGCCTCATTTTTCTCCTGCAGAGCGACAGGTAGATTCGAACTACTGGCCTTGCAGTAGTAGCCTAGCTCGTAATCCACTATGATATCAGGGATTCTTTACCTGTGACAACATAACATAATTACTTCATTCTCCAGTCCCCTCCAACACCAAATCATTTTTGCTAGCAGCTTATAAATCCATTTCTCACACTCTAATCATACTGAAGCTACACCAATTATGGCCCCTAAACCTCCTCTAAAATAGTTACTCTCTTCCCAACAGCCAATGACTACAGTTCCTAACATTAAACTCTAATTGCTCCAATAAACAATCAGCAACAAGATACGAGGCTGCCAAGAGATTCACCGTTAGGAATGATATTCTAGATTGATAGGCATTTTCTCATCAACACACCTGTGCTTTTCTCTACTTAAACCCTTAGCTAATAACCAATGTTTCACAGGTGTGATTTACAACAAGCTTTACGTTCTCAGACTTTCCTCATGAGAAAGATGAGCCTTTCTGCTCCCGTAAAGATTTACAGCCTCAGAAACCCTGTACAGATCCACTATGAGTCAGAACTGACTTGGTGCCACACAACCACCAGCACCACCACAATTCTCAGACATCATTTAGAAGGCAGAGTACTCAAAAGCCTTACCCCCAAAATAGCTGTTTCTGGTCTCTAGAATTCTGACAGCTCACCTCTACTAACACAGTTGTATTTCCTTCCTGCAGCAGCCCAATCAAGCCTTCTTTAGTCTTCCTCCCATGGAGTTTGGCAGCTTTGCTCCAGCCCTCCTTCTGGGCCTGCTTGTGGAGCCAACTCTCTGCCTACAAATTGGTTGTTGTGTTGTTGTTGTTTTAAAAAAAAAAAAAAAAGGGGGGGGTGACAAAATCACAGATTTTAGAACTGGATGAAGCTTTAAGATAGCTTAGGTTGCCAGAGTCTTTCCACTTCTCCTAAATTCTATGAAAGAAACTAATTTAGCATTCATTCATTACACAGGGTTGCTATGCATCAAAACCGACTGGACAATACTTTGGAAATAACAATCAGTAACTGCTAAAAGCCAATCATTGTACCTGGTGCTTTTGGTAAATTTAATCTTCAAAACAGCCCTAAAGGGTGTATCTTCATTAAACAGACAAGAACGTTTCAACTCTGAAAGATTAGGAAAGATGTCTTAAGTCACTACAGCTCTTGTGAGGGCACCCTAATTGAGACCTGGGTCTCCAACTCCAAAAGTAACATAAGCCCTTTCGGCTGCATGTAGCAGGAAACAGGAGTCTTGTATGGACTAGGGTTTACTAACCCTGGGATTCGGATTCGAAGTCAATTGCTTCCAAATCAAAGGATGAGGTTCAGTTGGACTAGAGCTCCATGTAGGGCACCGCACTTAGGGATCAGAGGGCAGCAAGGTTTCCTTTTGTTTCCTAGAAGGTAAAGTCGGGCCCTAGCACCCAGCCCTACCACGCACACCTCTTTGAGATCCCCGCCACAAGTCTCCAGAGCTTTCTTGCAGTTCACAAAGGAGTAGCCGGTTTTCCGCCGCAGCTTCATGAGGAGCTCCTTGCTGGAAGACGAGGAAGCCAGCCAGGGGCCAGCGTGAAACGTGTGCCATGGCTGGGGCGGCTGAAGAAGGGGCGCCGCCTGGGCAGGACAAGGAGAAAGGGATGAGAAGCGGGATCCACCGAGAAACGCTGGGGGCGGGAATTAACTAGGCAGGAAAGGGTTCCAAGGAGAGGCTGGGGCTAGGGAGGTGGGAAAACGGAAGTTCACAGGGTCTGGACAGTGAAAGAAGGTCGTCCGAGGGAGGGGTCGAATGGAAGGTGCGCTCGGGCACACGGGAGAGACGTAGGAGAGGGAGATCACACTGGAGAGTCGGTGCAAGGGCCGAGACCCCCACCTGGCAGCTTCCGGTCCGTGTGACCAGGCAGAGGCGCAGTGACTGCAGCAGCGACATCTCTCCCGATGCAGCACACTCCGGGGCCGGCGCGCCAGTGAGGCGACAGGCTTACGGCGTATCAGCAGGGCCAAATCTCTGCACACGAACGCACCAAACGAGGATGGCACCACCTACCGGTCGAAGAAACAAAATTGCCTCTCCTCCAAGATCTAATGATACTACGTTTCACAAGGGATTTACCAGAGTTTACTATTCTGGAAAAATAACGGAATGCAGGATACAAGACATTTAGGTAACGCTTTACATTTCTTTATTTCCAATGTGCTTCAATATTATTATTATTATTCATTATCCATTTCCGTTGGTGGTGGTTATGTGCCGTGGAGTCGCTTCTAACTCATAGAGTCCCTGTACAGGGTTTCCGAGACTGTAAATATTTACGGGAGCAGAAAGCCTCATCTTTCTCCCGCGGAACACCTGGTAGTTTCGAACTGCTGACTGTGATATTAGCAGCCTGATTTGTAACCACTACACTACCAGAGCTCCTTATCCATTTCCATTATACATTTACAATTAAGGACCAATTTGTGAGGTAGGCAGGTATTTTCAGAAGCTTGTCCAACGGTCTAAGAATGGAGTCTTCAACAAACACAGAGTAGGTATTTGTTGGATAATCAAAATATTTGTTAAGTACCTACTGTGTGCAAGGAACTGTGTTCAGTTTCAGGAAATTATTGTTGTTAGTTGCCATCAAGTCAGTTCCAATTCACGGCAACCCCATGTGCACACAGAACAGCACCATAGGGTTTTCAGGATTAACCTTTTAGAAGCAGATTGCCAGGCCTGTCCTCCCAGGCACTTCCGGGTGGATTCAAACTGCCCGCCAGAATTAGCGATGAGTAAATCGAAGGTGTGCTCTCCTCATAAGGAATCTTGGTAGCATAGTGGATTATGAGCTAGCTATTAACCGCAAGGTCAGTGATTCAAATCTACTAGTCAGTCCGTAGAAGAAAGATGACGCTTTCTGCTCCCTTTAAAGACTTACAGCTTCAGAAACGATATACAGAGTTGCTATGAGTTATAACTACCAGTCGCTCCGCGGGAGAAAGATGAGGCTTTCTACTCCCGTAAAGATTTATACCCTCGGAAACCCTGTACAGGGTCGCTATGAGTCGGTTCCGACTCCACGGCACATAACAACAACAACAACAACAAACAACACACAAGCACCACCACCACCACCCTCCTCATGTTGTTGTTGTTGTGAAGTGCCGTCGAGTCATCTCCCACTCATAGCGACCCTGTATAGGGTTTCCGAGGAGCAGCTGGTGAGCTTGAACCACCAACTTTGCAGTTCAAACTGACTTTGCAGTCCAGTGCATTAACCCATAGCACCACACTAGGACTCCACACTCCTCATAGGTAAGCTAATAATGAGAAAGTAAGGCACAGACAAATGACCACACAAGACAATTTAAATCCTGTAGATGGGTGAACAAAGCTAAGGATTCCAAGGGACAAAGAAATCACATCCAAATAGGAGGCTCAGGAAAAGCAACTCTCAGGAAAGAAGTGACATATGAGAGGGCATATAAAGAGTAATAAAGATTTTGACATATAGGAAAAGGCCTTCCAGGCATGAGATCAACACAAAGAACAAAGTAAGAAGTTAGGAAACTTTATGTGGATTTACAGAAAAAGAGTAGACCTTTTATAATCTGGCCAGAGGTTCTAATACATATAGGAGAAGAATAGGAAATGAAGTAAATGGGTATTGGGAATCACATGGGGGACAGATTGAGTACCAAGCAGAGGAAACTGTTCTTGCTGATTTTGGAGGATCACAACAGTTTGTAGAATGGCTAGAAGAAAAGAGCCACAGTGAAAACAGAAAAAGGGAAAGCAAATTAGGAAGAAAGAAAGCCTAAAGAAAAATCAAATATCAGAAGAACCTTGTTCTCAGTCCATATTCTTTTGCACAGCGTGATGTTCTGTGATCAGAACATCAAAAAGGGTGTAGAAGCTATAGTCCAGGGGACAGCTCGAAGCCCAGCTTCAGTGCTGGGAGGACTTGAGAAGTTAAAGTCATCATGCCTTGCTGCCAGACAAACTCTAGAAGTAAAAAATGGGAGGTCCAAGGATTCTTTCTTGTCAGACTTGAAGGCACACACCTGAATTCTTGGATGTAGAAGAGATCTTTAATGCTCATTTATTTCCCTTTAAAGAGTCCATAGATCTGGCAAAAAAAAAAAAATCCAGACAACAGCAGGACTGAAAGTAATCAGTAACATCAGTGTAGCCATTGATCCCATATACCTCCCCACACCTGAAAACTATGGGCACCCTCCCTTTGCAAACAGGAGCTAGGAACATCCTTTGTGCTCTAAGACCAGTATTGCTTGAGTCTTGGACTCTTAGCAAGCAGGCATCTCCCTGTATCTGTCCAGAATATCTGGGAAAACAGAGAAAAGGAGGAAAGAGAGAGAGGGCAAGGAAATCCATCTTTGTTTGGTCCTCACATTTCTGGCTTTGGAGATATGGTAGTTCCTTCATTATGACAATGGGAACAGAGGAGCAGAGGAGATGACATCAAGCAGAACTTGGTTCCCTGTGCCTGGCCCTATAGATGTTGACATTCACGTCCTCATCCCGTTGGACCAGCTCCAGTTGGAAATGCTGGGGAAGGAGGTGCTGAAAGAAGCTCTCTGTCCCATGCTCCGTTCTCATCTTGGAGGCCAGATAGATGGTGCCATGGGGCCCGCACAGGTGTTGGAGGGTCCCCAGCAGCAGTGAGAAGGTGGGCTCCAGGTACACAATATCAGCCCCTAGCACCAGGTCATAGTCTCCAGGGAAGACATGCTGGTCAATCCCCCAGGACAAAGCACGCACCTGGGCCTGGCCTCCAGCTGGCACATTTGCCTGGACGTTGCCCTGGATCTGTTCTAGGGCCAGGGGCAGGTCAGTGATGGTAACATTCCCCCCTGAGAGAGAGGAAGGAAGAGAAACACAAGTCAGAGGGCTCAACCAAGGGTTTTCGGCTCCTGCCTGAAGTTCAGAAACCTCAGGACCTACAAGACAATTTCTTAAAAGCTCAAAGTCTAAACTTGGGCTTTTAGTTGCTCTAACCTTTAGCTCTCCCACTGTCATTTTCAATACTCCACATTCTACAACAACAACATTTTTGCTGAGCTAATCTTCAACCTCTCTGCCCAACACACAACAATCAACCATCAGCAGAAGCCTGGGCAGCACTAAACTGGAGACGGGTTATGAGCCCCCCTCCACGGACACAAGTTCAGTCTGCACAGGTCTGCAAATCTTCCCAGAAGATGTGACACAAAGTGAGCCCTGAAGGACAAATAGAAGTTAGTCAGGTGGACCTTGCCACACAGAGAAGAGTGAGCTGGCATGTGCATTCAAAGAAGACTGGATCTGAGAAAATGTGAAAGAGGGAAACAGAAGTGTGAAGACATGGAATTAAAGAGGAGAGTGATTATAACAGGCTAAGAAAATTCACACTTAATACTGAGGGCAATGAGTTTTAGGGGTAGAGCAGGAGGTAAAGATGGTAAGCTTAGCATTTCAGAAAGCTTCATTCATCCAATAAATATATATTGAGCACCTACTAAGTCAATTCCAAATGTGATAAGTAATACAAAACCTCAGTCTTCCTTGAGCATCATACTCCAGGTGGAGACACACTAGGTACTGCAAAGGTAACTCTTTAATTATAATCATGATACCCATTATAGACAGAGAAGTAGGGAGCATTCATTCATTCGTATTTATTATGTGCCTGTGAAGTGCCAGGTGCTGAGAATACAACAGTGAACCAAGCAGACGCGAAGCCTTTCCCTCCTAAATATTAAAATCTAGAGGCAAGTAATGGTCAATAGCAAACAAAATGTAAAAATACACTGTATGTCAGATGGTAATAAGTGCTGTTGTTGTTAGGTATCAACTCATAAAGGCCCTATGTGATAGAGTTGATCTACCTCATAGTGTTTTCTAGGCTGTAATCTTTATGGGAGCAGATCACCACATCTTGTACCAGATCTTTCTCCTCTGAGGTCACTGGGTGACTTCAAACTGTCAGCCTTTCAGTTAGCAACCAAGTGCTTAATGGCTGCACCACCAGAGTTATTGACATAAGCGCTATGGTGACACATAAAACAGGAAAGGGAGATAAGAGTGTTGACAGGATGGGCCAGGGAATGCAATTTTAAATTGGATGGTTAAGGAAAGCCTCACTGGTGTGTGGGCAAAGACCTGAAGGACTGTGATGAAATAAACCCTGTGGATTTCTCAGGTTAAATGTTCTCAGGTTAAAGGTGAGGGACAGGACAAACAAGTGTAAACTTTTGAGTTAGGAATGTGCCTGCAGGCTGAATCACAGCAGGCAAGCCAGGGGCTGGAGCAGAGTGAGGTAGGAGAAGATTAGGGGCCAGACCATAACCAGGAGGGTCTTGTAAGGAAAATTGTGAGAATTTAGGTTAAGTCTCAGCAAGATGGGAAACTACTGGAGAATGTTAAGTGAAGAATAGCACAAGCTGACCTGTGCTTTAGAAGGTTCATTCTGGCTGCTATAATGAAAACAGACTACAGAGGGCCAAGAGCAGAGCAAGGGAACTATTAAGGAAGCTGCTGCCCAGGTGAGAGATGATGGTGTTTGGGACCAGGTCAGTAGTAATGGCCAAGAAGTGGCTAGATCCTGAATAGATTTGCAGGAAGATTGTATATGAGATATTAGCGAGAGAGAAAGAGAAGTTGAGGATGACTCTAAGATTTTTGGCCTGATCAACAAGACAGAATTGCCATTAATGTAGATAAGGAAGATTGTAGGAGCAGATTTAAACAGGAACATCATGAGTTCTTTGCAGGACACACTGAGTTTGAGATGTCCATCATACAATCAAATGGAGATATCAAGTAGGTGTAGTCTTTGATCTTTAGTGTTTAATGCATCATATTTATTATTGAAATGCTCTCTAAATTCAGATGAGAAATACTTAAGGTCATACTTTGACTTTCATGGACTTGTTTTAATGTTCTTCAGCTTTAA